TAGGCTCTGAGCCACTCAGCGGCGATGAATGGCATGGCGTACACGGCGAGATTCGAACCCAGATCACAACTCTAGTGTTCAAACTGAATCTGTTACTCTATTCCAATTGCCGTGAGTTAGATGTTAGATGACATACTTATACTTATGTTTGGCTTTAAAGAATAGTAATTTGCCGACTTAAGTTAACAGGATTGTAATTTATATATTGTTGACAATAAGCAAGTCAGCTGAAATGTATTCGGAGGAGCGGCGTTTGTGCGTCATGAATACTTAGCAAGGGGTAGGGATGGGGACTTGTGGGGATGAAGATCACCGCGTCACGTCACGCCACTGGCCACCCCGTTTCACTCCCGCCCGCAATAAATTACGCTCGATTGCTGCCGTTAAGTTAAGCAGGGAGGTTGTTGTTTTAACACACACTAGGGTTTGTAATATTGAATGAAATAAATCGTCTGATTTGGAGATACTAACAAATTAGCATTATAACTTTTGCGATAATAAATAAAAATGTAGTTTGGAAAAGTAATACTAGGATAGATTTCCCTTTTCAGTTGTGCTGTTTATCGCCGTACCTTACTCCGCCGCGGGCAATCTTCTCAAAACTACGTAAGAATGGTTACGTAGCCGCTTCGATTACACAGATTCTAAATGTGGCAATATAAACATTTGCAAGCTTTTCCGAGCGCGACCCACGTCATGGGCTGATGTATGTGTTTCGAGATTAGTTTTCGAGTGTCCGTGTAATTATAAGCGTGACAGCGTGACGTGCCTCGGCCTGCGTCACGTCGCTTGTCCGATGAGCCGCGCTAATCACGTCACGTCATGCCATTTTAGCAGCAACTTATCGGTCATCTGGATTTTTGTTTTCAACTTTCACAATATCGACAAAATCGTAAATAGCAATGAAAGTAAACTCAGTATTTTAAACGACTTTAAAAAGAATATTATCAACTCGGTTATTTTTTTCTTAAACTTGGACAACCTATTTTATAAAAAAAAATCTATTTCGTTTATGAATTTCCACTGTCTTCATGTATAAATTGTTTAAATCCTGCAACATTTCCTTCGATTATAGTATCAAGTCAGAAGACACTCAGAATCTAAGGGATCTACACGAATAGTGCTACAAACTAGGCCTCTGTAGATTAATTACATTTCTAGGCCGCAGTTCTTACTGCGTCGTAAATCATGCGGCAATGAAATTTGGGTTATGATCCACGCGTCTCACCGTTAATGAATTTAGAGATGATATTTATTGAAATACATTCATCAAAGCTATATTTATCATTAGAGCATCGTCAACTCGGATTGCATTTGCAATGTGAGTATTATTAGCGTTGCTTTAGCCTCGCCACCTCGCCAAATGACCCACCGCTAGTTATTTTGATACCACTTTCTATGCGTTAAGACACAGTTACAATGTTTATTGTTTCAAAATTATACTAACTAACCGAGAGTTTCCAGTGATTAAACATCTCAAAAACATGTATTTATGAAAGGGTAGGAGTGATTTCAATAAAGAACTTAATGTATGGTGTATCTGAACCTAGATAACTTTTTCAAAGTTAGTTGAAATACATATATCTCGAAACTCTAACCAATCTAGCCGATCTACAGCTTAAATAACATCTTAGATACATTTAATATGCAAAATATTTTTGCAGTCTTCAAATCCGGATACCTTTTTCAATGATGAAAAACATGTTTACACGACTTATGTAGCTTATTGGTAATTACTTGATGTAACGGTAAATTACATTGAAATTAGTACTCAATTGCCTATGTCAGATATTTAGCAGTGTTTTGTTTATAAACATAGCCATCGTTGATGTCACTGAAATAATCTCTTGTGAATTCTTGACAGTTTCAATTGCTGACAAGATCAAGTTACGATATGAAACCTATTATAACAGTAATAACGTCAGTGGATAATAGTAACAGTAAATTCAGTTACGATGCGTGCGAAAGTCCCAGTCTGTGACATCCACACACCAATAAGTGTCTCTCGGCCGTGGGAAGCCGCCCGTACGCCGGCGACGCTACTCGTGGTAAATAGTAAACACTCCGAACATGTAGGTTGTACTTCTTCCACTCCATTACCACCAATATGATGTCATGACATTTTTGACACACCGTGTACGAGATACCCTCGATTATCATATTGTCGACTTTGCTTACCTATACATTATTGAAATTGAAGAAGGTAACTTAACTTTGTTTTTTTTTTTAGTTTCTGTAGAAAAGAAATGTTTCTAAATTATTTTCATAGCATACATAATTTTGCGCTTTAACCCCTATGCTAGAAGCTACTCACATAACCTAATCTATTTCGAATATTTACGCAATTTAAATCATCAAATAACTTGTACAAGTCGATAATATTAATGATTCCTCAAGAAACTTAGCAAATGACGTTCAAGATATCGTATAAAAATGTAGACGAGATTAAACACTCGCGCGTTACAAATAGACAACGCGCATTGAGGTAACGGTCGGAAATAGAACCCCGCCTCCGGACTCCGAACCAAAAGTAGTCAAGTTAATTTTAGAGCGATCCCAGCTGGGACGTTTCGGTAGTGTGATTCACCTGCTGAAGAGTCGATTGTTCGCGTTGCACGTCAATCGGCCGCGTGGTGTTTACGCGCTCGTCAGCTGACGGCCGGGAATAGCCCTGACGCCGCGGCCGAGCAATGCGCCGCGTGCGCCCGCGCCGCCGCCCGCGCCCGCGCACACGCAAATAGCGCGCTATAATTAGATGTCGGTGAAATCGTGGGTTTGTTATTTTTCTTTATCGTGTCCGTTATGCGATAATTGGGTTAGCGGCTGCCGGCTGCATGTGGGCCTGGGCGCCGGCGCCGGCGTCGGCGTGTCTCGTGCAGCGAGAGTCCTGGCGCCTGCGGTCGTCCTTCCTCATCGCACTTTGCTAACACTTTTGTCATGACGCAGTCTATTTCAATAGTTCGTTATCTGCCAAACTATTTTTGTATGCGTCACGTACGCCGCATAAACGGATTCTACTTTAGTCTTTAGTGTTATAATTAAAAGTCATGACAAACTATGAGGAGATGGAGTCATTCCGAAGTCAATTTATTTTTGGTTTAATGATGAAATGCGAATTTGCGACATCTTGGAAGAAAATTAAATTACCATATGATTTAAATCTTATCTATACTAATATAATAAAGCGTAAACACACAGTTCTTTGTTGCCTAAGATGTCAGCAATCACAGCATATTTTTTAACAATTCTTTTTTAATAAAAAGCCCTGAACTTAGGTCACGCTTTAGGCTATATATTTTCACGTCATTAAACTTAGGGGTAAATATTTTGGATAAAAACCCTAATGTGGGAAAGAGACCATAAGTTGTTCCCAACACCAAGGAAGCAAGGTTTTCATGGTCTGACATCATGTCATGTCATTTTGACATTTGCAATTGATAATTTGACAAATGTAAACATTAAAATGAAATATTTATAATTCTATGCGGATGAAGTCGCATGGGAACAGCTAGTTTAAGTATATTCAATGTTTTAACATTGATTGATATTTATATCAAAATAATCTTTTGATAGATATTGAAGAAAAAACCGGTTTACATGTACATAAAACAGTAAGTGGTTTTAAAGTTTCTATAGGAATATAATTTAGTCGCTTACAATTTAGCGATCAAAGTGGAGCGAGGCGGCTCCGTTTACCTAATTAAGGATATTTGTATCCACTGGACAAGGTTATTTACTTCATGTAGACAATGATAAAATATTAATATTACCTGTATTTAAATTCAATAAATTCATTTTACTCTCGTAATATAAAAAAAGCCTTTCAAACTTGATATTCTGTTAGACCTTTTTTTGCAGAACTGTTTTCGTAACTTTGATTTAACTTCTTAGGTAAAAATTTTCTTCTATAGCAGTAGAGTCTGGCCACTGATGAGGTTTTAGTGGATTCATAACCCTGTGTTCCCTCAGAAGGCAGGGTATACTCGTATTTACAGATTCAAAGATTAATATTTGACTTATTTGAATTTTTTTATTTTAAATCTTCAACTTAATAAAAAGTATCTGTAAGTACATTATGAGTTTGTCTATCGTTTTCAATATATTTTTGTTTTTCATACTTATTTGCGTCATATCAATCAGAAAAGAAACAAACTGTCTTACTGGAAGTGTTCATATTTAAATTATAGGTGCTTACTAAAATAGAGAAGGAAAAGCACAAAGAAGAGTTGTAGTTGATTACACATCGTGTCAATTTTTTTTGTACCTGTCACCTATCTGATTGGATTATATTAGTTTGTTATTATCGCAAAATAGTCATCGTGAACGACGGATTTTAAATATAACAAACGATATCATATTATTATTAGATATTACCGTCCTGGGTCACATATGGTTTGGTAGTTTTGGTGTGTTCAGCTAACCAATGAAATTCGTTTTTTACTTATGGAACGATTAGGCAATAAAAACAAATACAATTTATTGTTTTCTAGATAATGTGTAGCAGATCCTCTGACCAACTGGTGTAGGTTGTTATTTCGTGCACAATTTTTATTTTCATAATTTTGGTAGAAATAAACTTACGATAAAAACATTCAGTAAAGTAAATATGAAAGCACAAAAACGAAAAGAGACTGCCGCGCCACCGTAGCAACTAGCGAACTAATCAATGACTTCAATATAACATTCAAACTGTAAAGGCGTTCAAAACAAACAAACAGAAACGCCGGTCGTCACAGAGCAGTGTGAAGCGAAGCAAGCCCGAGCGCTTGGCGCGGAGGCTCGCGGCGAGACGGGCGTGCGGCGGCGGCGGCGAGCGGCCCCCGAGGGGGGCGAGGGTGGCGGGTGGCTCAGGGCGGCGGGGGCGGTGGGCGGACCGGGCGGTGACGTCACGCGGGGGGGCAACCGCCGTGCGATTGGCCGGCCTGCGCGCGCCGCTACCGAATATGGGACCGAGTCTTCATTGATAAAACGGGCGCGCGGCACGCGCGGCGCCAGTCCTCGTCGCGCCGGCCGCACGTTCGGCTGTTTTCACACTGGCGCTGTTCGTGATACCGCTTGGCCCGTGGGCCGAGGAGCAGGTGGTGCCGGACGGCATGGGCACGGACGCGGAGCCGCCGGCCGGGCCGCACCTGCTGTCGCTGGCCGACATGGGCGCCCTCGGCTTCGACTGCGCGCTCAAGCCAGCGCCCGCGCTGCCCGGCGGCATCGGCGGCGCGCCCGCAGACCTCAACACGCCCGTCTCCACCTCCGACCTGCCGGCCTTCTTCCCTAACCTGCTGGAGCCGCCCCCCATATCAGGTGCGCCGCTCGGCTATTGTTGATGAGCCGCTGCAGTGACAACGTGCAGTGTATCACCCGACGGTGCGTCGTCGTCGTCCGGCTCGCGCCCGCGCGCTTTCCAGTGTTCTTTCAGTGATTGCCATTGTCATTCATGTTCAGTTTACTAGTGACGTAATGAAATCGAGGATTCGGTAAATATATCTATGCATTTCATTCAAATGTTATCATTCTACTACGACGACTACTACTAGAGAGTTAATGCTGGCTGATGAAACTATTTTTAATTCATTTTAAAGCCTTATAACAATTATGAACTTATAAAAAGAAATGACGGTCTAATTTAAAAGTAAATTTATAAGATTGCATTATTATTACAGTGCATTAAGTAACATCTTCTTGCTTCTTCTTGGTAGCGTAAAAATAACTTCTTATGTAAAGAAATAAATAAAGTGGTATGTTTCATGATTTCCTATTTTACAAAATTAGGTATTTATCAAATCACAATAACAAAATTAAATATAAATAAACATACTTACCTATCTTATTACATTTGAACGGCAAAATTATGTTCCTGTCATTATAAAGACATAGAAACGTTAAATTTCATAAGTAGTGGCCCATAGGCTGTTGTAATTTAGGCAGAGAAGCGATGTAGTATAATTTGGACAGTTATGTTATGTGAGAAAAAGTGTTTTACCGGAAGAACTTTATAATACATGGCTTTACCATAAAAACATAGATAGTGTTTAAAATACATTTTAGGTGAAACATACGTCAACTCTTTGAACTTGATACCGGGATTCTAGCGCCCGGCGAAATATTTTAACGAATCATGATTTTGAGACATTAAGCGTACGCTTGCGAAATGCCATTTTACATACATATTTATGGTAGCAATCAGTCCGAGTCAAACAATAACACGATACATTAAAATAAAATAAAATATAGGATAAAATATTAGTAAACAACACTTGCATCTTGTAGTTGTAGATATTTGATTTCTACTAACATCAAATAACAACAAAAATAAACAACTGATTTTTTAAAATAAAGGTACGTTTTTATAATTCCTTAGCTTTTCATACGACTAATTAACTTCTTGCAACTTAAATTAATTAAATGCATTAAGTAAACATGGCATTAAGATTTATTGTTTGAAACTCTAAGCTAAATAAAGAAATAATAATCTTCCCGTTTGTCACTGAGGTCGTTGATCTCATTCTCAAAAGCGCGAAAACTGCAAACTACAGTGAAATTGGATTCGCCTGTATGGTTGGACAGTAGTGCTCAAAACAGCGCTGGCATACAAGTAGTATAGTGTAAACGCTATTTGGCGACAGTAAACCATAACAAACCATCCCAGGCCAGCTCCAATGTCATACTAACATGGTATTAACCAGAAATTATAATAAAAATGAACATCCGCCGTATAGATTTACAAGATTTTGCCCGCGTGAAATTTGAAAGTAATAATAAACAAATGAAAAAATATATCCTATGTTACACATAGAAAAATTAACTTTCTAACGGTGAAAGAATTTTTAAAATCGGCCCAGTAGTTTTTGAGTCTATTCATTACAAACAAACAAACAAAGTTTTCCTCTTTTATAATAGCTATTAGTATAGAAAAATGTAATGAAAACTGTTCACACTTATCTGTTAGTATTATAACCAAGTGGAAATGTTAGTACTTGAGTTGGCATACTCTTTTATATAAGTTAAACTTACTTTGTATCCATAAGTAAAGTACGTTTAACTCAAGTTAAAAATACAAATATCCGATTATGCCATAAAAATTATACAGACTCTTATTAACACACATTGTGATATCTATATCTATACTAATATAATAAAGCGTAAACACACGCTAGGATAGATGGCGTAGGATGTCAGCAATCAGCGCATATTTTTGAATAATTCTTTTTTTTAATAATAAGCCTTACATTACACTAACGACACGCTTTAGGCTATTTTTACATGCTATAAACTTAGGAGATAAATAAATTGTAAAAAACCTTTATGTGGGATAGGGACCATAAACTACAATCTGCCAACATCAAGAAAGGCAGTTTGCCAAAATTTGTCATTTTGACATTTGCAATTAATAATTTGACAAATGTAAACAATAAAATTACTTTTTTATAATTCCATGCGGAAGCCAGACGGGAATAGCAATTCTTTTTTTAAAGGGAATGTTAAAGATGATATACACAACCAACTGCTAAGCCCATCATAATTTATTTATAACAAGCATTAATTGTATCGGTGATGGTCGGAGTGCATTGGTAACCGCGGCACCTCGTACTGATACCGGCTATCGGCTTCCGGACACACTTATCACCGTTTCCCGCACAACGCTCGGCACGCGAACGACTACAACAATTACTAAACACAGCTAAAAGTATACATAACTCTTTAAAATTAAAGAAGAAGGTTAAAGAATTATAAACCCGACATCGACTTGTCAAACTACATTTATTTTCTTGTTTTTATTGTTATAACAATAGCCAGTACCTTACTGAATAAACTCCTAAATGGAACACTAAAAATTTGAAATTACAAAGAATCTACCGAGAAATACAAAAACATGATACTCTCGTCATGTTCATTAACAACTCAGCCTTTTAAATACGGCTACGGAGGATGTTTCTAATTTTATTTAAAGTAAATTATTGCATAGCGCTGTTAAAAACAGTAAATACATAATTTAATATCGATGTACGAATACTAAAGTTATTTCATAATCTAAATAAGGCTTTATTTATAATAGAGACTTGCCTATTATTGATATATATATATATATATACCTTGAATAATGCAAGAGCCACGAGAGCGCATTTTTAATAATTTTTTTATATTCCTCATCTTGTTATACGTTTTCCGCATAGAGTCAGCCGATAATTAAACTCTCAGTCAGATTATGACATGCTACGTACAAATTAAAATGTAACAACAGGTTTGACAACAGGTTAGGCGACAGGCTAACGTTTTATATTCAGGGCATAAGAGCGATCGTGTACACATCACGTACTATAGCGCATTAATTTTGGTGGAGATGGTATCTGGCACCGCGACGCGAGCATTGAGCCTAATTAGCTCACGCCGGACGTTAGACGAACAATGACTAATGAGAGACAATGTACGGCGAAAGCATGTTCCACAACGAATCTTACGTCTTCATTTGCCCCTTTCTAATTAAGATTGATGAACGAATCAAAAATCTGCATCACTGTTGGGTACACCGAGCACTAGTTTGACATCTCTGTCATCACAAATCCGGGCAGCCCTTCAGCGCGTTACAGTCTGACGGAAAAAAATTCTACTAAATCGATAGAGACGTTTTCAACACAAATGCAATAAATATTTTACGATACAACGTTAAAACTTATAAGTTTTAATGATTTTACCTATCATAACTTTGAAAATGAATGTACCGACCTGTACAAGCTTTCAAATGGCAGAAATATTGTATACGATTATAAACGGTGTCGATACCAACTATAATATGCGTGTTAAATTTCCGGTCATAATCGTACGCTAGCTGGCACGTAGTAATGTGGGATTTTCGCTTGTTGCAGGGTCTCTAGCTGGCGACGAACTGTCGCTGGGGTGTTCCCCGCGGCGCCACAAGCACGAGGCATCGTTATCCCCGGGCGCGCGCGCTGAGGACGCCAGTAACGCATCTAGTGCTAGCGCCAGCGCCTCACTGTACGGCCCCCCGACCGCCAAGCGTGCGCCCTCGCCGCCGCTGCAATGGCTGCTGCCACCCGGCCCCGGACCCGGCCTCGACAAGTACTTCCAGCACGAGTACGAGGAGCGCGTCGACCTGATGCCGCCGGAGTGCCAGCCACCGTACTGCCCGCCCCAGCCCTGTGCGCCGCAGCACTGCGAATACCGTCCGCCGCCCCCGCATCACGCCCAGCACCCGCCGCATCAGCCACACGCGTCTCACCAGCCGCACCCGCCGCACCCGGTTCAGCAGCACTGGGAGGCGCAGGAGTACTCCGCGCCGCCGCAACCCGCGCCCGGCCCATCCGGCGTGCCCAAACGCGAGCCCTACCCAAGTCCTGCGGGCGACCGGCCAGTGCAGCTCGCCGAATACAACCCTTCCACGAGCAAGGGCCACGAGATCCTCTCTCAGGTGTACCAGCAGAGCGCGCAGCCTCTGCGGCTCGTCGCCGTCAAACCGCGCAAGTACCCTAACAGGCCGAGTAAGACGCCCGTGCACGAGCGCCCATACGCCTGCCCTGTAGACGGCTGCGACCGCCGCTTTTCGCGTTCCGACGAGCTCACGCGCCATATACGCATCCATACGGGCCAGAAGCCTTTCCAATGTCGCATCTGCATGCGCTCCTTCAGCCGCTCCGACCACCTCACGACGCACGTGCGGACGCACACCGGTGAGAAGCCGTTCGCGTGCGACGTTTGCGGTCGTAAGTTTGCACGGTCCGATGAGAAGAAACGGCACGCTAAGGTGCACCTCAAGCAGCGGCTGAAGCGCGAGCGCGGCTCAGCGCCGCCGCACGAGCCTCTTTAGCGCACGCGCCGCTCCGCGCCCCGCGCTCCGCCGACACATTCCACTCGCGCCGCGCCATCTCCCAGCGGCAACGGCACACGTTGAAGTTATCAAATAATTTCATCGCTTAGGTGTAAGCACGGTCTTAAATGAAGCTTTATTAAGTCTACATTTGTAAATTCACTGAAATTTATATGTAGGTATATAACTTTTATACACATTTGTTATTAATATGTTGGATGTGGTCGATCCGAAGTATTCGTTTGACATCAGATTTTATCGATCTGGACCGGGAACAAGTGTAGACTGGAAGCGGTGCGGCCTAAAACTATGTTGTGATTAAACGCATCGGAAGTATTGTATAGGATGGTCGCCACGGATCCTCTGCGCAGCATCCTCACATATCTAGATTGAGCGGCGCGCGCCTGACGTAGTACGAAACGTGTTTTATAAACTAATTTGTTTAAATTCGAAGTGAGTGTGACATGAACTGAGCCTTCACATGAATAGTAGAAATGTGAAGGGCAAGTCGTCCGGGTTGGTAAACTTCAGCCGCGAGTCGACACCCGGTCGGCAAGCTTTGTTTAACTTTGTTAACTATTTAAGTATTGTATTAAATATTTATTAATCTTATATACTTGACTAAACTAACGTGAAATTGTGCCATTCGTTTAACTTTATTCCGCGTGCCACGGCAGTTTGAATGATACTAAATGTAACACGACTGCTATGTAAGTGATAGGTGTAATGTTATACCTGGTGTAAATGTAACGCTACTTGTTTTATTTTATAATATTTCTAGTCGAAGATGTGAACGAGCGAATGTCGACTATTGTTTTTCTTCATATACTTTATTTTATTGTTTTATTTTTACATTTTATATTAATTTTCGACAGTCACTGTCAACCTTTATTCTTGCTCAATTGATTTGTTTTAACAAAATTTGCTCAAATCTCTCTTACACAAACATTATTGCACTAACGCCTGTTTTAGTATAAAGCCTTCTTCTCTATTTTCTTCGTTTCAACATATTAATTGTCTTGTTTCCTCCCAGTGGCATACAGTGCTTGTATCGTCGTGCGTTTAGACTAATCTAGCAAAAGTAATTAACATGTAGGTTTAAAATTATGATCTCTTAATCTTTATTAATAATTTGCAAGTATGGTCCTCGGAGAGATGGGCTTTTTATTTATAATACTCATAAGTTCGTGTACATGTAATTACTTGTAAGTATAATTTTGTATTCATATTACAGTTACTGTGATTAAGTTACGACTTTTCAAGTCACCGTCGCATGTTGCTCGGTGTGTACGTACATCGAACTGTTGTTACAGAATGTTCACGATCAAATCTTTCTAAGATTGTTTATTAGTACAAAATTAAGCACAAATAGCCTAACATGTAATGATGAAACGTTTAATATTTATAAAATCGTCTTCAATAAGTTAGGTGCATTATCAGTTGGAAATTTATATTTGTTATATATTTAATTATGCGTTGCATTGTTATGTAAATCGTTTAAACATATGTAATTTAAGAACAATCAAGCGTTCCACCAGAAAAAGTGTTGTCATTGTTTCAACACATATATATATACTGACAGGGTGGTATTTCGAATGGCGGTGGTCTTTATGAATTTAGAAATTCGACAATAATATTTCTGACCCTCGCGCCAAAATTCAAAATAGTAAAAGAAATCTGAAACTAAAGCGATATAAACTGACATGAATTTGGTTCTTTTCCGCCAAATGGTTTAGCAGAAAAACTCACTTGGCAAACATGCAGTTTTCGCTTTAGTTCCGTTCGCTTTCGCGACAAGCGTACAAGATAATGCCATTGATGTATAATCTATTAAAAATCAAACCGCTTTTTCTTAAATTGCAAGAGAAAATCACAAAACACTGTCCACGTGTGTATTAAGTTCGCTTTATAATTGACAAATATTACATATCGCCGTCTAAATTGTTTTTTAAAAACCATTATTGTACAACCACAGATCCAGTTAAATTATTATAAATTTTATAGATACATTTCACACCATCCACGATGCCAGAGCTCGTCAATTAGAATAAGCGCCAAACGATAAACACATGCGTACAACAAAATATTTGATAAAAACGTTATACGAAATATAATGTACGCATTTACAATGTTTTTACTATATTAAAGGAGACAAAGTCTCTGTTAGACAATGCTAGCGTAGATAGATATATATAATTATTGCATGATAGACAAACGAGTGACGATGGAAACTGAGAAGACTAAATTCTTGAACTATTTACGTAGTGTTGCATCTCGTTGTTGGTATACGGCAAGGCAACTGCGATGTTCACGTCGGTGCCGAGCCCTATTTGTGATCGGTCTGTGGCGGTGCTACGCATTATTACTGTTTACGTTCACGTTGATGTTCTAGTTCTTAGTCGATTTTCAAAGTGAAACAAAACTATTTCAAGGTGTTCACACTATAGTCAGTAACTACGATTTTCATTATGAGAGCTGTTTAAACGAGTGCGTATGTCGCAGTCGCCAGTGCTGCACTCTACTGGATGTTTGAAGAGGTGTTGTTGATGTTTTAAACATATTGTAATTAGTTTTTAATAGAATTTAAGTATATTGTTAAATCTCACTAATTTTTACTAAATACTATTTAATATATTTGTAAATACACTCTGACTAAATTTGAATTTAATGTGTATATAAGAGAAAAAGAAATTTTTATTTAATATGAAATCACCTAAGGTGCGAAAATACAAATTGTTGAAAACTGATACTATATTGTTTACCTTTATCCTGCTAACCTTGCCTGTGGTTCCTTTTATGTCGTTTAATTTTCCCGATAAATTATTATTATTAAATACTAGCTTTCGCCCGCGACTCCATCCGCGTGGTATTAAAAAAAAAAACAAAAATAAGCACCCTATGTGTTCTTCCATACTCTGCTCTACATCTATGCCAAATTTCATTCAGATCCGTTCAGCCGTTTAGGCTACAAACTCTAACAAACATCCATCTATCCATCCATCCATCTAAACTTTCGCATTTATAATATTAATAAGATTAGTAAGATAACAAACGTATTGAAATGATTGCGTTTAGATCAAGTAGTGACAACCACGGATTACACTGTCGAAATTAACAAACAAAAATATTAATTTGTCAGAAAAGAATGACACTGTTTTCTATAAGCCGTGTAACAGTGAGAAAAACAACGTTGACGGAACATTCCTATGCTTTTCAAATCAAAGTAAAGTTCATATCGAAATAACATGCTATGTTTCAACAAAAGGGCAACACGTTAAATAAGACGACTTTGTTTTTCTAATCTTGCATAACCAATAAGAAAATCAAAGAGCTAAGGCTAAATAAACGAAAACAAGTTCTTTGCGAGCAAATAGATATAAAAACATATATTTCTAGAGTAGGCATAGTTGACACTTGAATTCACTAACGCTATCTGTAAATAGTTACTCAAAGCCACATGACATTATTGTATTTATTTTGTAACTAGATGGAGCTTAATATCATTTCCTAGAATGTTTTATTAGATGTTACTACAAAACTTGACAACTGATATAGTACCTTTCAGAGAAAGTACCGGTGAGTCTATTTTCTTTACATTTTTTAAATAAATGTTTGCGAGTAATTTTTTTAAAGAAATAAAGATTTGCTAGCGACATCTGTATTTGATTTTGTATACTTTGCTCTTGGAAGAAATTATTTTGAGAAGACCGTACATAGATGGCACTTAATACATTTTTTTTTAATTTCCAATTACAAATCACCTTCGAGCAAATACTATGTCCCTCTGTTTCCAAAGCTGAGTAAATGATATGGATCTTCGGCACTGAATTAAAATTATTTTTAACTAGCTGTTGCCCGCGACTTCCTTCGCGTGGATTAGAAAACATACGAACTATATAAATAACAAAAGCTACATATCCCTCGGGAACCGGACATTTCTCGGGGATGAACCTTATCCCATGTATACTCTAGACTTTGTATTATATCTGCCTCAAATTTCAATAAGATATGTTGAACCGTTGCAGAATGATCGAGTAAACATTAAAAAACTAAATTAATGAATCCCACGGGAACCGTAACTATTCCCGGGATAAAAAGTAGCCTATGTGTTCTTCCAGACTATGCTCTAAACCAGTGCCAAATTTCAAAACATTTCTTTTACCATAGATACTGGAACATTACAAATAAAAGACAAACTAATATTCTGGCACTTTATTATTATAAATATTTTGTTTTTACAACTTCAAACATAAAAAAATTAGGAACATATAAAATCAAATTAGAACTGTAAGTATAAATAAGAAATAATTTAATTATTACCATGTATTGTCTTTTACAACAAATTATATTTTATAAACTATAAGTTCGGCCGAAACATTGTTACAAAAACATATTATTAACTCTTTTGTGTTGTTATAATTGTTACCTCTGTAAAACATGTGCGTTTTATATATATTTTGTTATTAGTTTTAAAAACCATATTCTTCCGTTAGTCAACAATTCATATGTTCGGTTTATATTATTCCAGTCCGAATGGCGCTCGCCCGGTGAAATACCACGACCACACAGAAGACAGGCGTGAAGTGGAAGCAATTCCACGTTTCATCTGATGAGTGTGGTGCCGAAGGCCCAACTTTAGTACTATTTCGTTCACATCCTATTTCTTATAAGAAAAGAATGGGAAGGGATCGTGGATTTGATGATGGAGGAGACGCATAGAACGAAAAAGTGTCCTGATTATGTGCGTACCCTCTTTCGTCAGGGTAGTGAACGCATACACTATTATGAATATCTATGGGCAGCGGTCGCTTCGCCATATAGTCAGATTTAGGTAGCTGCTTGCTCGTTTGCCACCTTATGATATAAAAAAGTCCAGCGTTGGATAACTGGAATGTAAATCCGCCCTAGACAACACAGTGCAATCCTGCGCTGGACTAGAATAATGTAAACCGGACATGAATCGTTCTAATGGTATCTATTTAAACAAGAATAACCAGTCTTTACATGTAAGGTGAATATTAACACCATGCTATGGAAAAATCGACCTGTATTATGTGAGACTATATCATCATATTGTATTTATTTTGATAAAACTAAACAATATTAAACCATGACCTATTTAATATGTAACATATGCTTCTGAAAGCAAATTGCGAATCTTATAGGCCGAAAGTTGAAACGATTCTTTAACATTTTTTAATTTAGATATAAGAATCGCTTTATTTTTTTATTCAGTTAAGCAGATAGAAGCAACTTTTATGTAACATTTTCAACATTAAAAAACACAAATTAAAAAATAAAAATATAACATAAATAGATAATACAAAATTTTATAGACCATTCCATCTTTAAACATATCACGTTTGTGTTTCGAGTGCAATGAACTTGATCACAGATATTGTCATCCCTCATATTCCCTTTGAAAAGAGAAAGACAGCGATATGTGACCACGGCATTCAAAACACAGTTGCTTTGTATTTAGTATTGTCAGTATACGACTAGATGAAATGAATCCTATGAGAGAGACAGAGATAGTAATATAACATCAGACACTCAAATCAATATTAACAACTAAAAAAAATATACGAAGATCAACAAATTTTAGTAGCCGGCATTTGAGTTGGCACGTCGCTAACGTGAGTATTGTTCTGTTTGACGTGCCAACATTACAGTCGGCTGCTTAACACACAAGTTAAATAACATTTCGTAAGGAACTAAAAAGAAATACATTTAAATTAAGTTGTTATCAATACAAGATGAATTTATGTAATAAAAGTCAAATTGCTTAAAAACAATCGATACAAAAGAATACTTCATGGGTCTAATAACCTAAGCAGTTTATTTTTTTAAATTGTCACTCAAGTGATAAAAGAAATGTGCTCATAATAGCGAATACATTTGTCTACCACTCATCGCAAAATCCACTGCTATAAACAAAAATATGTCATCTCTTTCACACCAACTATCATTCTAATTAAAAAACAGAGACAACCATGTTTTTGTACACTACATCCGCAGTAAATCACCGACCGTAGACAAATCTGTATCTTAAACTGTATTTAACTTGGAATGTATTTCTATTCTAAAATCAATGTGCATATGAGCATTTGTCAATAATTTTATTAAACAGTTCAAATAAACAACAAAGTATGACCAGATTTTGTAATTGTCCGTTTGACTCGCTTTGAATTTTGAATGGCCGTTTTGGTCACAAATGAAACCATTTATAGAGACCTGCACCAACTGCTTTTTTATTTTCCAGCTCAAAACAATAAAATAAATTACCCCTTATTCCAAAAAAACGTTAGCAAACTTATTAAAGTTATGTTATCAAATTTTTTAAATAATTTATATTGTCAATGTTTTACTATTAACTATTGATTATACAATTTCATTTGACTAAATCTCATAAATTGCACAAATTTACAGCATTTCCGACAATTATTACTAAAGCAAAGGCCGTCATGTATAATATTTAATATTTGTATGTTCACAAAATTTGAGGTTATATTATCAGATATCAACTTTTTACTTCTTTTCAAATTAAAATGCTAATTAAATTTAATATTGGCAATTCCATACAACACTACTACGGTCAGCATCAAATAAAAATCAAATTAAACACAAACCAGTCGTATATTACAATCAAATATTATGCCTGGTTTACACTTGGCCAGCAGTTGGACAGTGCACAATAACTGGACTGACTTTTAACACTATTACATTGTACCAGTTGATTGACGGTCCAGGTATTAAGTTGTAATGGCCAAGTGTGAATCAGACATTAGTTGTTTGAACATGCCTGTACAATATCCTGCGATGCGGTGTCAGTGTGGGGCGTGCGGGGCGTGTGGGGCGTGTGGGGCGTGTGGGGCGTGCGGGGCGTGCGGGGCGTCATCCGGCGTGGCGAGGTTAGGCTCGGAGTCAGCGCGGCGCTTGAGGCAGTCGGCGTCGGCGTCGCGCGGCCGCGGCGGCGCGGGCTCGCCCGACGCACACTTTATGTCCGGCGCGCTGCGGCTCACCTCCGCCTGAAATTACACAAACACATTTAACGGAAAACAACATCAATTTTTGCATATTTATAACTTGTATGTTAATAACCCAAAGACATTTATGAAATACTAGCTTCGCCCGCGACTCCGTCTGCGTGGATTTAATAAAAACAAAAGTGAGTAGCCTGTGTGTTCTTCCAGACTATTCTCTTCATCTATACCAAATTTCATCGAAATCCGTTCAGTGGTTTAGGCTACAAACTCTACAAACCTCTAACCATCCGTCCATCCGTCCATCCATCCATCCATCCATCCATCTAAACTTTCACATTTATAATATTAGTATGAAGTATGAAGTATGACATAGACTTGACATAGTGAACAACATTTTATTCACCGGTAACTTCTTAAAGGTACTCTGTTAGTTGTTAAGATTATTGTCACACTTAATATCTTATGTTGACATGTTACCATATTCCAAAATAAAATATAAACATTTAAGTATGATTTAGTGACATCTATTGGCAATTCATTTAAATAAAAATAATTTTTGACATATAATTTTGAGAATCTATTAATAGATAGCGTTAGTGAGGGTCTTGTGAAAAGTAACTCGGCCTCCTCTATACATTATTTGAATCTCTTTGAATTCGGGCCACCTATCTAGCGGTAATTCGAAGCCCGATATTCGACTATTTTATCTATATAAATATATTTTTGTAAAGTATTACCAGTTCCGTATCGAGGAAGTCTCCCGATTCCTGTTTGACTTGCGGGTTCATTGTGTCGTTCAAGTAACACACGCCGTTTAAATCTATGGCACTATTAGAGAATATGGCGGCCGCGCCCGCTGACGCGTACACCAGCGGCTCGCTCTGAAACAATTATAAGTACACAATCTGTATAAAAGCGTAAAAAAAGTTAGTAAATCATTGTCTATACTAATATGATAAAGCGTATACACACCTTAAGTAAAATTTCAACAATCATAATAGTTGTATATTTTCAAGCTATTTTTAGGGGATAAAACAAATTATCATAATGGAAATGACAAAAACTACAAGCCAATAGCAGCAAAGAAATAAGAGCCTCCGCTGTCTTTTGTGAATTCGAATTTGAAAATTTTACAGATGTATACAATAAAAAAGTTATAATTTCATGCAGATAAAGCCGCTAAGGACAGCTAGTCTTAATATATAAATATAGATACTAACAATGACTACGTCTTCTGGGATCTGGAACTTGAGCTGTACAGGTTTCTTTGCAAGTGGCACTTCACACTCCGGCTTACTAAACAATATTTCCTTTGTAACTTCTTTCGGTTCTCTAAAAAAGCATAATCCAGATAAACATAGAACAAATATATCTAGTTTATTAAACTATACCATACTAATATACCATGCAATGGATGGATATTTGTTAGAATTTGTAGCCTAAACAGCTAAGCGAATTTCATTGAAATTTGGCATAGATGAAAAGCATAGTCTGAAAGAACACGTAAGTTACTTGCATTTGTTTTTTCTATTCAGAACGGACGTAGTCGCGGGCGAAAGCTAGTTTGGAAATACCTTTTGGGTGTTGTGTGATGGCTGTCATTTTTATCCATCTGATGTTGTGAGATGAGCGCACACGCCTTGCCCAGTATGACTATGGATATCAAAACCCTCACCGTTATTAAGCACAAGTAAGCCAGAATTATTAGGAACATTGCTGCAAATCTGAAAATAAGAAAATAATAATAATTTCCACTGAAACACCAGTGAAGAAACAATTTGTCTTTGTTTTCTCTACCAATATTATAAAGAGGAAAGATTTGTTTTTTGTATGTATTGAAATAACTCAAAAACTACTGGGCTGATTTTAAAAATTCCTTAACCATTAAAAAGTTACATAATCAGTGAGTAACATATGCCGCGTTTTTTATTATTTTTTTAATTTCACGCGTGCGAAGTAGCGAGCAACAGCTAGCTTAAGATAATAATAAAGAATAACACTTTTAAATATAAAATTATTTAACCAGAAATATAAAAACTGTTGGCATATTGCTAAAAAAATAAAACTAATTTCTTTGCACAATAGATGCGTTATAAGGAAACACATTGATGCATTCTTAGACCAGGAATATTTTAGTTTCTTCTTCCTAAGCTCTAACGCCCTTTGCAGGCCTTGGCTTGGTTAAGTAATATTTTATCTTGATTAGGCTATAACAAGTTTAACATATATGAAATATTCATAGTGGTAAACTTATAATACCCACCCATCTACTTTGACAGCATGAACCAGAACTCTTGTAATGACAACTCCCAGTGGTAGAGGAATGAACCCCATCCTGCGAGCCACCAAATCTGAGTGGTCACTAAATGCATACTTCTGCCTTGTCTGTGCAACATCGTAAGCCAGGCTTACTGTATATTCTCTGTACACTCCATATGGAATTTCATTAAACCTGAAAAAAATGTCATCAAACAAATTAGTAAAATGAAATGAACTTATTATGAATTATTGAAATCATTTATTTATGACTAGCTGTCGCCCGGGACTCCGTCCTCGTGGAATAAAAAAAAAGTAAGTAGACTATGTGTTCTTCCAGACTATCCTCTACATTAATGCGAAATTTCATCAAAATCCGTTCAGCCGTTTTGGCTACAAACTCTAACGAACATCCATCCATCTAAACTTTCACATTTATAATATTAGTATGACCACTAATGATAATAGTGTCAGATTAATAATTGATAAAAAAAAGATTTAACAGTCATGCTTACAGATTTAGCAAAATTGATTAAATGATTAACTAGTTTAAATAAAGAAATACATACCTAGTGATAAATGCATGTTTAACCCAGTCAATTATAACTTCAAATGTCAGCACAAGAATGCAATCCGGAGCAAGTATCCAAAAACGATCTTCTCTCCATAAATACTCTTTCATAGTTTGCAGAACAACTATGAAGAGAAGGACAGAAAGATGCAGCCTCTCTCTTACATCACTGCATGATACTTGAAATAAGTTGTTCTTGTCAAATTTCTTAAAAACACTCCCTTTTAGCTCTACAAACTGTAATGCATTAAAAAGCACATTTTTAACAGTTGTAATGTATTTTTGAATATCTGGGGTTAACATTTTTATAATTGTTATTTTAAAAATCTAGTAATTTCCATCATAAATGATTTCATCTATACTAATATTATAAAGAGGAAAGATTTATATTTTTATCATTTTTGTATGTATTGTAAAAACTCTAAAACTACTGGGCTGATTTTAAGAAATCTTTTACTGTTAGAAAGGTATTTTATTCGTGAATAACATATCTTTTATTATTTTTTAATTTTACGGGGACAAAGTTACAAGTAATAGCTAGTATTTGATAATTCTCTTACTTACATTATTAGACATCATAATCATAAGAAGGCTTTTGTTGTTAGAGTTGAAAGCAACATTTAATGTGGTAGCTTGAAACAACACTAGCAGACTATGAAGGACTGTTCAATATTATTAAGAAAAATATAAAAAGAATAGAACATAAAATACATAGAATATATTTCCATCATTTTTTCTCAATTAAAATATATTATAATCACCTCAGACAAAAGATTACATTTTCTTGCAATCTCTGTTATATTAATTAACAGAATAAAAAGGATACACACATATGTCATTGCAAAAATGAAATGTGGGATAACTCCAAGGTGTTCTCTTCTCCGATCCCGAGGTTCAGTGGCCGTCCAGAACAAAGCATCAATTATATCCTGGCCAAATGCTGAGAACAAACGGTCCCCAACTTCCAACATATTGTAAAATATGTACAACTTCATAACACTCTGGCTTTTAACCAAATGGTACATCATATTTGTGTCAATATAACACATTAATATGCTACATATTAATAATATAAAACCTTTGAGCACATCACAAGTCTCAGCTGGCTTTAGTATACTTTCATGTTGATGTGAATTAAACCTGAAATATAAGCATAAATACATTTCAATTGCACTCTTCTTTATTTAGGAAGGAAGCTACAATCAGGACAACATTGTATTTATCTAACTATATATATCTTATTCCAAATCAGAAGCTCAATATTGCCAACAATGACATTTTAAATATCAAATCATCAATTATAATTTTAATGAATTCTCCTGTGGTTTATGAGCATGAGTGATTATTTGTAAATAATAAAAGTTACTATACTCACCGAAAACATCTTCTAAATAATCTATTAAAAAAAGACCAAAATGCCATTATAAAACGTAATGGTAAAAATGTGTACACAAACAGGAGCGAATCGGCGCATTGAAAAAAACCGTATGCCATGAACTTCTCTAATTCCTGGGGAATTTTGATGAAGGAGTACACTTTCTCCCTTCTTGCTGAGAACCTTTCCTCATCATGCTCCAAAAGATATCCTCGAGTCAATTCAACGTGCAAAAATGCGAATAATGACGATGACTTGTCAGGCACTTCTGGAAACATTATATTTGTATTAACTTTATAATGTACTGAGTTCATTATTATACTTCGTTAGGGGACCGTAGTAAATAAAAACAAACCTTTTTGTTTTGCAAACTTTGAATCTAAATCACCAGAACCATGAACATTTGTTTTAAATCGTAACCTTTTCGTTTGTTCTTGTAGCTCCTCATTTTTTACCACCATGTTTAATAATTAAAAGAACTAAAAATCATGACATATATTAAACGATTATGAAAGTTTAAGTCAGAATTTTATTAGTAAATATTCTATAAACTTAGATGAGCCGAGTCCAGTGTGTAAATATGATTGACAGCTGACAGCTGTCAATGTCAAAGGATTTTTTTTTAAATTGAAAACCTAAAAAAATGTAGTAATTAGGTGTTTGCACGACAAGTTTAAAACCTTAACCACTTCAGCCACAACCATTCGAACAATAATATAACCAAACTCAACTTAATAAGTTCAGCAGAATTAGACGACTGACCAGCAGAATATTTATTTGGTCACACTGATCAGTTCAGTTCTTATTGTCAAGTCAAATGTCAAGTGTTAGATGTCAAATGAATGTCATTCACAATCACATTCGTGTCTTGGTCGTTTCGTGTAGTTTCGTAAATCGTGAAACGTTTCATTCGCGTCATGATTGTTTATTTACCGAAATTCAAATAGTTTCCGAGTATGTTTTAAAATACATTGAAAAATATAAAATATGTTGTGAAATTAAAACAAGTCATTGTGAAAACATTTAATTGAAGATTTTATTTTAGAAGTAATCAAATTTACGGAATCTAGGTAACTATGTCGCGACAGGTCGATTCCAACATAGCACTTTTGTTAGATGGTTTAGGACTCGAAGGAGAAGAAAATGACTTTTGTGATTTTACTATAGCAGACCAAAACTCAGTTGCAGAAGCTCAAGGTATTACTCCAACTACTCCATCAAATTTTAAGCCTGTGTTAGGTAAAAATGTAACTTACGTTGTCGCATGTGTAATTCTTAACGAACACAATGACTTACTTATGATGCAAGAAGCTAAGGAAAGTTGCGCAGGTAAATGGTATCTTCCTGCCGGCCGTATGGAGAAGGATGAAACAATTGTCCAGGCAGCATGTAGAGAAGTTTTAGAAGAAACTGGCTTACAGTGTGAACCTAAGACTTTATTAACTGTGGAGACGGCTGGTGGCTCTTGGTACAGATTTGTTTTAACCGCTGATATTCTCGGCGGCGAACTTAAAACACCTGCAAGAGCAGATAAAGAATCCTTGCAGGCAAAGTGGATATCCAATTTGCAGGAGATATCTTTAAGATCCAACGATATATTACATCTTATTGATAAAGCTAAATTGCAAAAACAAAGTAAACCTGGACAAACATGGCATCAAAACATTCTACCAGCTTTGACACCACACTCCAAAAATCTTATGAGACTAATTGTTGTTATAAAGAAAAGAAGTACAAATAAAATGCATGTATTGTTAAGTGAGAAAACTTCAATACATTTCCCAACTTGTGAAATTAATCCTGCCAAGAGTGTACATTCTACATTGAGAAGGTTTATGGTTGAAATGTTTGGTGCCGATGTGGGTCAACACCGACCCTTGGGCCTGCTTAACCTGGAGGCTGATCCATCCACAGATGGATGCTGTATCTCATTGCTTGTGGTATTTAGGCCACCTCTGGAAGAAGTGCCAATCATTGGTAAATGTGCTTGGCATGAAATACCCAGAGATCTTGAGAGTAAATTTCTTCCAATGATAACAACTAAAAATTCTACAATAGAACTACATGTTGTTCGCTGAATTTGCATTATCCATCTTTAGTTATCTACATTCTCATATAAACTTATTAGCTCTCTAAATTATTAAGAGAACCTTAACACTATTAACAATTATCTAATCATCAACTTACAAACAATATATTTTAGTATTATATACATTCCACATTATTTCATAGCATAAAGCATAGCAAGCATACTCTTAATAGCATAAAGAAATCCATAACCCAATTTCAAATATATCTTATCTTTCTTGACTTGGAATTAACTCAGTGATGTAAATCTTATTTGCTGTAGGTGCTATTTAAAATAACTAGCTATAGTTTATAGATAATAAACTTCATTAATATCCATATAAAGGATTTTTAATGCAAAAACTATGCGATAGATTTGTAAAATGTACTGACAACACTTCTAAATATAAAGTGATGTGCAAATTTTATTATCCAAGATAAAGTGCCTGTTTTAGTTATAGTAATACTAATTATTTTCATAATATATGTAGTATACTAAAAATCGCTTTTTAATGTAATTTTGCAAAACATGATGAATCTCTTCTAGTTTTAATTTTTTTTTGTATACAATGATCTTATATCAACCCTTTTCTTGTTAGTGTATCTGTAGAGATACATCATTTTTTTTTCTAAACACCTTGGGTCATCAAGGTTAAGTGCTATCAATATTATTTTGATATGCGAAAAAATAAAATTCTGCCAAGTTAAGGGTTAAAAATAGATAACAAATCATACCATTGTAATTATATTGGAACATTGAAATACCAATTTTAATATTTGTAATGTAGTTTTACATTTTCTGTATTACAATTATTCATTTGCTCAGAAACAAGTTACTTTATTGTGTAAATGAATCAACAAGCCAACTTCAGCTAAATGAATCTATTTATGATTTCCATCATTTATTTTTTTTAATCAAAGATGTATAAACGTTTATTTAGATTATAGACTATTTTTTCTTGTCTTGGAACTAATTATTTTATATATTTTTACTATTGTATGTTTTGATTTATTTTTCTAACAATTTAAGTAAATTAAATTAGATAAATTCACGACATGAAATGTCTAAGTCGATGTACCTTCAATTTTATTATATTATTTCTTTAAAGGCTTTAATAATTTTATTTTCACACTTTTGTAAGTTATTTTTCTTTTGTTATTGTTTTTATTCATTTCCAGTCAATCATATTATACCAATTACTTATATCCGCATTTGTTTTATTTTATATATAACCTTTTTGTGTAATCGTTAATTTCTATAACCGAAATAGCTTTTGTTTTGTTTTATAAAATTAAAACATTAAAAAAAACACTAACTCTATGTTACTAAACAATCTGCTTAAATCTTTAAAGCATACCTAGCAGATCTTCTATTTAAGAGTTAATGTAGGGACTGCAAAAAAAGGGTAGATCCCAAGGAATTTGAAATATTTAAATTGGGGCTCATGAGAATTGATCTGATTTTATACCTAGATATTACATCGCTTTTCACTGCGAGTGAAAAAGGCGCCCATATATCAGGTTTTCCAAGTTAGTATGATTTTCACTTTCTTTTGGACGTTCGATTTAACGGGAAACGGGTTAGGTCAAAACTTGTTTTCAAGAACTTACACACATGGAATAATATACTTACGAAGTAATTTATGAGACTACTGCATAGAGCTGGGGTCTAGTAGTGATACCTACCTAAAGGTATTTGATATCCGAAACAGGTATAGGTGATTCATACCGTACTGCGCCTTCACATTCCATTCATTTCAAATAAGTTTATTATCTATCCATAGCGCAGAATGTAATAAACTTTTATTTTCATGTAGAGTTGGTACTTAGTTTTTATTATTCCAATGTAAAATGTAAATCTGAATGGATGGATGGATGTTTGTTAAAGTTTTTAGCCTAAACGGCTGAACGGATCTTGATGAAATTTGGCATAGATGTAAAACGTAGTCTCGAAGAACACATAGGCTAACTTTTCTTTTTTTTAATACCACGCTGACGGAGGTATATTTAGCGCGGAAAAAGTAAATAAGCCTGTAAAGTAAACAAAAGTTTTCAAAGGCATGCGTCGATGTCTTTTATATGCCTTTAGTTAGTGTGCTGTCATTACGAAGTCCAACTTGAAAGTCTGATGGATTAATTACCAGTTCTCTTCACAAATATAACAGTGATAAAAGGATTAAGATTAAAAAGGAATTCTGCCTTTAAAAAATTAAGGAATTAAATTGACCATAAACGTTAATATCGTATCAGTAATCTAAGATTGCGTGTTCAACATAAATTCTGTTGTTATTTAATTAGTATGTGTAATACGCTTTCCGAGTTATGGCCTTCATAGCTTGGCGTGGCGAGACTTGGTTAGATTTGAAAACATGTTTATTTCAACCTTTGTATCGAATATCTAACTTTATGAAGTATCTATTTATTTTAAGACCACTACAACAAAGCTTTATTAAAATGATTAAAATTCAAACTGTTGTAACATCAGCATAGAAAGGTTTTTACTGATATTTTTATTTTACCGAGACATTGTTATTAAATTTTTCTCACGACATCGAAAAAGTACAAGTCGTATAATAACATTGAAAAATAAAAATGCAATTTAAATTTTGTATGATTTATTTAAGCGACATAAAAAAAACTTCGCTCTGACTAGAAAAATCCAATAGGCAAAAACAAGCTACGAACTGAACGAGTCTTTGTACATCATTTCATTTATAGAAAAAGTACTACATTGTTAATTGAATAGCTTTAACATTATTTATGTATCCATAAATATGAAAAACTAAATCTATGATTTCTCGAAAATCAAAAACATGTAATATATGCACTAACTTATATAAATACAAGAATTGTATTCATCGCTATAATTTTTAAGCTAAATTTCTATATATTATTGGTGATTACAAGTAATTTTAACTAATTCATGTCATGTTTTACAAGTTTTCGGGTCAAATTCATCTTTTTTACTATACTGTTGTACATAAACCAGAAAGTACATCGCCAAATCTACAAAGAGAACTCACCAGATATTTGATTTAAATTTCATTTACTAAGCAATTGTTGTAATAACATCCAATTTAATATTTAAAATGGGTAATGTCAAATTTTTACGATAACTTAACCTATTTTAATACTGCTAATTCTAAAAATGCTTGTGTGAAAGACAAAAAAAAAATACCAGTAAAATTCAACTAAATTTGACATCTATATACATTTTATACAAACGATACATATAATATAAATAGGGTCTTTAATTTTTCATTGTTACTTGATTATTTATAATTCGAGTGTTAAATATTGAGCGTCTTAATTTTATACAAGGAATGCGTATGGAGTATTTGTCAAAAGTACATTTCCAGAATTATAACTCATGGTAATTGTATACATAATACAAACATTATAATTTGTCTCGAAGCTTGATAAAAAACACTCATTGTAACACAATTTAGTTGCCAATTTTCGATGAATTTTTGTAATTAAATACAAAAGATTACTGTTAAATGCAATGTCAATTCATTGTGACCGCAATAAACAAGTATAGGAACAAAATCACAAAATCTTTGGCTCTATGGTTTGAAGGCCATTAAACAACAACTACAATAAATAATAAAAATTGTAAGTGCATTTAGTACTGCAGTTAAACACTGCCTAGCATATCACTTTACCTTGTAAAGAAACAAAATAACGGATCCTATGGACCAATTTCATTCACAACTTTCAACATACAAACAAACTGAACAATATTTATCCTAATTGTACGCCTTGTATCCATGTGTTCAAGTCAGCTGTTCCGGGGCAGTCCAATGTGTTCTCCGGAGAGTCATCCGGAGCCAACAAGCGCCGGGCCGCCGTCTGGCCCGACAGATATGCGCCGTGGACTGTCGAGTAGAAACTACTGTGTGTGTGCTCACCCGCAAACAGCAAGCTAGGCTGAAAATAACAATCTTTTATATAATAACAATAATAAAATATGAAAACACACTTCTTCATATAGGATATCAGTAATCACAGCTTATTTTTTAATACAAAGCTCTGCACATACAATATGCTTTAGTTTTTCCGTTTTCACCCTATTTAATTAAGGGGTGAGTAAATTGTAAAAAATTGTTAAGCAGGAATGGGACAGGAACTACAAGCCAGTTGTATACCAAGATTACAATGGTAATGGTGATTGTTAGCAAATAACTAAGGCCTTTTTGTCATTTAAACATTTGTAGTTTGACATTTGCAAGAAATATTTACAGAATGTAAACAGTTAATTAATGTTTTTATAATGTCACATGGATGAACCATGGAAATAGCTAGTTATTAAAAAAAAAACACAAAAGCAATAAGATGAACTGTTTGAGTTTACATATTAATATAAAGGATTCCAGAAGTGATCCAAACCACTAACATCCAGTTCATAATGCTGTAAAATTAAATTGAGGGTGAAAGTTGAAGAAATGCAGGGTGAAGTGTACATACCTTTTTATCATGAACATTTTTAAATAATGGTTGTGCCAAACTTTCAATATCACTTTGACTAGCACCAACAGCAATTGCTGTATATGACCCCCTTGTGTAAGGCTGCTTCTTCCAACTTGTGCTGGAAAATATAAACAAATACTTAATAAAATAATTGTAAAATAAATGTAATTACAAAACATGTAATGTGAAAAAAAAAACATATTGAAGAATTGAGTACCTCCTTCTTTTGGGAAGTCAGTCAACAAATAACAATAAAAATGTAAGTAACATGTAATAAAAAAATGACTTTATATAAAACTATATTATATCTTGTGCCAAAGTCCAAATTGATTGTCATGATATTGAGTAAAATGACTAAATGGCATGACAATACAGCTGGCATCTTATCAAAAGTGGGGCGATTGCTTCCTACTCTCTAAATCATCATTATTTCGCATTGCTTTAATTTTTTTCATATTACTTTATGGTATTACTAAACAAAGGTGTATCCAGCCACATACAATAGGGTCTAGTGAATGTTCTAGAGAGACTGGTAGTATAATTTTTTTTCAAAGGGAACATTTATCTATGTATGGTCTAATTATTCAATGAATAACTGACAAGAGGTATTAGAGTTATCTATTTAGGATTGTAAACTTAGAAATTTCAAAGTAGTATGTCTATCCAATATTTATTTATTTTCCATGGAAAACTTTTGTCAGCAAATGACAAATATACATTTATAAGCTATGGTTAAAAAATTATGATGTTTGAATAAAATATACTAACCAAACACATGTTTGTGGCTCTGGTACAAATGGATCGTTCAAAAACTTGCGTAAAATTTTTGTGCATGTAACAGCTACTTCTTCCATAGAGAGTGTTTCCATATACTCTGCTTCCTTACCAGAAACCCAGCCCAGTAGCAGTGTTTCTGATACTTTACTAAAAGAGTAAATTTTTTTATACCAAGACTGTGCTAAGTCTTCTTGACAAGATGGCGTTTCCCAAAGAAGCATAATTTCTGTTATATCAGGATTCAAAAATGGCCTCTCATATTCTAAAAATATTTTATCGACAGCACTAAAAAGCAGTCTGTCTAAAGATTCCATTTTGTACTGTGGCAATGCAGGCTCAAACATTGTATTAGCAGTATCTTTTAAGACACCCAAAGGCATTGTACATATGACATGATTTGCATAAAAGCTCTGTCCATTTTCACAAACAATCTCAACACTATGCAATAACTTTTTCTTTGGTTTTAACGGTGTTTCTGTAAGTGTTTCCAACACATCAGGAGTATTTGCTTTTTCAGAATTTGCTCTTGAAATGTCTTCAATTACTGTTTGATCAGAATCTTCTGATTCCTCACCCATATCATCTAGTTGCCTTGCTGCATTGTGTTGTTCAGAATCCCAGATGATCCTTTTTACTGGATGATTGGTCAAGATTTTTTCTGGGGCTATCAGTCTTTTCAATGGCTCCAAAATAGCACTATAACCCGAGGGAATCATTATGTTCCCTCCTTGTAATTCTGTATAACTGCCTAATTCTAAAAGATCAATGTCATCCATATTATTGCATCCTGATATACAGGTTTCTCGCTTCAATAGGCAGTCAAATATTAGGCGTCTCAATTTCTTTTCTTCCGATGATGGAAGACGCTCGAGGTATATGGTTGCTTCGAGATTTATATGCTCTCCTACACTATTGATATCAGGTGGTGGTAAGTATTGGCACAAAAAATATTCTTCGCACCGTCTTAGAAAACAAACGTATGCTTCGTGTATTTCTTGTAGAACACCAAAAGGCACTTGTTTCCCATCCTCAGTAGCTGCTATAACTTTATGTGGCTTAGGTATGTTTATAATGTTTACAAGTCCATTTGCAGTAGCGATTTCAAATATTGGGTTGCCTAAAACCCCGTGGATCCAATTCGCACCCAATTCAACTTTGTGGTTTTTCATAGGTATTGAAATGATTCTTCCGCCGATACGATTCCTAGCTTCAAGTATAATAAAATCTTCCATACCATTTTTAATAAAATAATTTGCAGCAGCTAGACCAGCCATTCCACCTCCAATTATTATAACATTGTACCTGCGTGTTTCACATTTTATACTAGAATTTAATTCTTCGTCGCCCATAATATAAAAATATAAATTACAATATTGATTTGTCAGTGAGTTTTTGACGCTCAGCTGTTGGTTATAATTTGTTGTCTATCTTTTTGTCGTTTATTGTAAAATGCGTTGTCTATGGGCACATAGCTAATAAATATTTTAGTGACATTTTCGAAAGAAGTCTAAACTAAAATAATTTTGTGTTTAGAAATTATTCAACAGTATATTAAATCATTGAGTTTTATTAAAATTACACAAAAGAAAACAAAATGTTACGAAAAATGATGGCATTAGACGGATTTATTTAACCCAAGTCTACAATTTTAATCAAATATTGCTTCTATTGTATACCTTTAAATGATTTGGTCGTTATTTTAATGTAACTCTAATTTTAATAAAACATTTATTGATTTCACAAGCTTGTGCCACTTATAATTGGGATGTTTATATTTGTATAGTTGTTTGTCCAGTCAGACGGGCCCCTATGACGTCCCCTTCCCCTCTTCGAATGACTTTCGATATTACCTGTCCTTTTCCTTCCTCCACAAAATAAATATATCTATCTCATCCACATGACCTTTGAAATTGCTGAATAATAATACCTACCGTAAAATCTTTGTTTACTTCTCGACTTGTCTCGTGGTACTGTTTTTGTTATTGTGCGAAAATATAAGCGTTGTGAGCGTGTTATTCTTCGAGGAATAAAGTGTTAAACATTACCAATGTGAAATTAAAGATTAGGCATGTTATTATGTAACTTTTAGAGTATTTGGAAGAATTAAAATAGTACCTTGCCTTTGCCTCTATTCGATAACGAGTCATTGTGGAGAGTCAAGTGTTTATATTTTTCAATTCGTTGATTTACGTAATGCGGTTAAATAATGGATGTTATTTGTGATATCGTAATAACTTTTACTTGTTATTTTAATGCTGAGACTTTTGCGAAATAAATAGTGAACTGCGACACGTGGGTCTTAGCGTGAATTAAAATCGATAAAGGCGTGAGCGTGCGCCAGTCTATCAACGAGACGATTCTACGTCAAGGTCATCCCACACAACACGTGCAATGTCGGATTCTATTTACACGAATGATTTTCTTCTGGAACCTGGCATGGAAATAAAACAGGAATTGCCATACGAACTCGGTACAATGTCAGCTTCTGTACCAATTCCGCAGCGGCGCTCCGAGTTATGCGACTTCACCACAGATTTGGATATGTGCCTTCAGGATAATTTTGGATCTTCTTTCCACAGCGTACCAACAATGCAGTATAATAAGATGGCTTTCGAAGGAGATAATACCAAAATAGAACCATTTAAAATGGAAGATGATGATATTTTCCAAGTAGATAAAGCTGATTTGATTTTAGGGCCGACTCTTGCCGAGTTAAACGCTAACCCAGATACGTTATTAGACGATCTTAATTTTGATGACTTACTCTTGCCAGAAGAGAATGGATATTGTATTCAGATCGGCGGAGCAATGAGTGGCTCCCGTCGTGCCATTAACACTTTACAGGCTTCTAATCTAGCTCCTTCAGAGAGTCCATCTAGTCCATACAGTAGGACTCAACTTGCATTTTCGCCATCAAGCCAATATTCATCTGCTTCATCTAGCTTTGCTCAAACAAATAATCAGCTATCAGAGTTACTGTTAAGGATGGATGGTTACAGCGGAGAGATAGCACTCGGACAATCCGTTCCTGCTTCAACAGTTCTGCCTCCATTTACATCTACAATCAAACCTCAGCAGTCACAACTCTCATCATCAGCCCCTACTCATCTTACTATGGAACAGGTATATATGATTCCTAATAAATAATATGCATTTTCTATTTTCTTTTAATTTGTTAAGTCAAAATTTAATATGTTAATTTTCCTTGTTTTGCCTTTATTAGTTATATCTTTTGTGAACTAATTTAAATTGTTTCAATTAAATTTATGCTTTATCAAGATTATTTGCATTCCAGTAGTGACATGCTTCTTTTCCTTGTCTTATCTAGTTAGAAAATGTTTAAAAAAATTCCCTTAACTGTATTTAAAGAGTACATGTTTGTAATGTATTTAAATTCATGCTGACATTTTTTAATTTCTTTAAAAGTGTTTACAGCAGAGCAAGAATTTACTAATAGTATATTTTTTAAATTGGATCTTATTGATTACTTTCTTAAGATATTACCCAGGGTCAGTTTTAACTCTAGCACCATGAGCAAGATTTCTACAGCTCCTTTTTTACTATGACTGGAGGATCTGTTAAAGTAATTTGTAAACCTATAACACCTCATACTCTCAGGTGCTCTTCGCTGTTACTTTACTTTGCCCTACCCTAACACCAGTACATATTAAGGGTATTAAAATACTACTTGAATAGTGGAAGTAGAAAATTTAATGGCTGCAATGTATGAAATTCATGTTTGTTTCTTTGTAAAGCAATATGCTTATATGTACTTACATCTAAGTGAGAATTATTGGGGGATAGGACAGGGATAGGGAAGTGACACTTTCCCTTAGTGACATCATAGTAGAGGCACTATGTTAGTTAGCGAGAATCAAAATATTTGCCTTCTTAATTTTATATTCTAATTTATATTACAAGGAAAGTTATGCTTACCAAAGTGTAACAATACAAAAGATGTTGATGTTTGAATAATTTTTGCATAAATATGAATTATTCATAAAATCAAATGATGTTAATCATTAACATAACAATAAGGAAATACTTTATGCATAGTGAAGTGTAGAAAATTATATGGATGTTAATTTGGTGGTAATAATAAAGTGAAATAGTATTATGTATTTAAATATTAAAAATTCTGGGAATCCTTTTAATGAACAAAAAGATTACACATAAGAAATTATTATATGTATATTTCGATAGACCTTTTGTTGATGTACATGATAATCTTTTTTATTTTATAAAGTGTCAAATAAGCAAGCAGCCAGGAGAAGCATAGAAAGAGGTTATATTCACTACCTCCATCAAAATCATAATTTTTTTTATTTATTTAAACTTTGTAAACAAATGAAAACAATGTTGTAAATACAAATTGAAAGGTTGTAGTACAGGTGAGCTTAACTTTATAAGAGTTATCTTATAGCTAACCGTTCGATACAGAGAGAATGTTGCATGGTCTTGCATTTTACAGTATAAGATACTTAAGAAAAAAAGAAGTAATAGTATCTAAATAAAAAAGTTTACTCCATTAAGTAGACCTTTTAAAGTAAAAAAATGTTACCTTTTACATTGTTATATTTATATGTGTAAAATAATTACAGATATGGCAGCGCAGGGAGCCTCGCAAGCATTTGCTTTCAACAAGCTCTTTAGCAGAGGCGGGATCTGTTTCTTCTCTATCAGGAAGTCTGCTCAGCCCCGGCGCTGGTGATTTCTCTCAAGATGAGGAAGACAAGGATGCGGAATCAGATGAAGATAGTGACAGATATGAGGATTTTTCCTCTGATGGTAATTTTTAAACATACATAAATTATTCTTGTTTTTCTTATACATTTGTTGATAATAATGATGCAAGATAATAGAATTTTTCATCATATTATTTAGTTTTTTTCTATGTACTATCTCATTGGCAGATACATTTTTTTATAAATATTGCGAAATTTGAAATTCATGCGGATGAAGTCGCACGGGAACAGCTAGTCAAGTATAAAGTTCATTGAATATAATATTGGAGTATTCTGGAAGAGTTAAATTCAACTTTATTAAGATGATGCAATGAAAACATGTTATTAAGTGTTCTGTGGTGTTTGTTTCAGCTTTCAATTTGACTTAAAACTTGTTGTTTTTTAGAATCCAATGATGAGTGTTCAGAGAACAAACATGCGCGCAGTTCTAAAAAAGAGAAATACTTCTGGCAGTACAATGTACAGGCTAAAGGTCCTAAAGGGCAACGTTTGATCTTGAAGAAGAAATCGGAAGACCCGCATGTTCTAAATTTAGTTACAGACCCTGTATTTAGCCCAAGTTGCAGTGTCCGAGGCATCAAACACAGGTAAAACATAAATAATGCGTTTTTTTTTTTTTAGTTTTTTTTGATACTTTTTTGGGAAACAATTGTCATTGTAATACAAATAAAATACTTATTTTAGTGGGAAAGCAAGAAAAGGTGATGGCAACGATCTAACTCCAAACCCGAAGAAGTTATATTTGATTGGCCATGAACTGGATAATTTGAGTAAAGTCATTACTGATATGATACCAGTTAGTGAGTTGCCGTTTAATGTGAGGCCGAAGACAAGGAAGGAAAAGAACAAACTTGCTTCAAGGGCCTGCCGATTAAAGAAGAAAGCACAACACGAAGCTAACAAGTTAAAACTGTATGGGTTACAGAAAGAGCATAGTAAGTTCAATAATTAAGTGGTAATTTAAGAGGAAACCTGCCTGAAAATTGTATATGAAACCTCACACTTAAGCCAGATACTCTAAAAAAGAACAAATAAAAAAAATATAAAGTGTGGCCCTCAGAGGCAGGGGTGCATTTAAATATGTTTAAATATGTTTTTTTTTTTTATTTCAGAACGTCTTTTGAATGGCATATCGCAAATGAAGCAAATATTAAACAGTCGGATTAATAATCCAGAAAACAACGTTGATTGGTCGTCACATATCGCAAATATTGTGTCCACAGCTACAGGTATGTATTTACAATCAGAATTTTCTTTTTTAATTATTTTAATGAATCAGATTTCAAATCAAGACTTTGTACTTTAATAAAGTTCCTTTAACTAAATTAAGTCTTATATTTTATTACAGAGGTTAAAATAGCTGGGCAAACTTCAGAATTCGTCAACAAAATACTCGATAACGTAAAGGCTGGCCAAAATAACGGTGGCATCAATGACATTTAAAAAGGAAGCTGAGATAATAGAAAATAGTAAAACAAAAGGCTGTTCTATGTACCTCCAAAGCTATTTAGAGAAAAACTTTTTATGTATATCATATGAAAACTGTCGGAGTTTTATATGAATAGAGTTAGTCATTAGAAGCTTCGCAAGGCAACTAAGGGGTATGTTTAATTCTCATATATATTAATCATAACTTAATTTTAATTTGGTATCAGCACTAGTAAGTGATAAGTTTAAAAAAAAATCATATAGTTATTATACCATTGGGATTTTTAAGCTTAAAGCATTTCGTATTTTCGATATTACAATCATTGGGTAATAAAAAATAATAATAGAATTTTATTAATATGTATATATTTAATTTACACTTGTTAATGTTTTTGTTTGAATATGAAATTATATTTTTTTATTGTACAAAAAGTACTAAAAATGGTTGAATTTGAAAAAAAAACCGGATTTTTTTTTCACAATTTCTGTTTCTTCGGACAATGTTTGACGGTATAATTATAATATATATTTAATATGTATTTGATTATATACTCGCGATATACAACTTGTATGTCATAATGATAACCTTTTAAAATGGATTAAACATTCATGTATCGACCTCAATATTGCCTAATAATCATTTATATTGAAATGCTATCGATAATAATTTGAAATATAGATTTTACATATAGACTTTATAAATTAGATTTATTTATAAATTAAGAAGTTTTTAATAATAAAATTATTAACATGCATTTTTCATATCTAATACATTTTTTATATAATACATAATAATATTCATAGAGAGAAATACATTTTATAATACTTTACGAATAACCCATTTATACAGCTCAAATATTATAAAAAAAAAAAAAAAACATTTATATGCATACATATTTTATAAAAATTTTATACCAATAGATGTTTAGGAAACATTTGAAGTAATTTCATAATACATAATTTTTTATTGCAAAAAGTAGTGGCAACTTAAATTTATATATTTTTAAAAAATTTGGACTAAAAATTACTGGCTTGCCTAAGTGGACCAAATAATGAACGTGAAAAAACATGTGAAATAAATTAAATAAAGGATGTTTAAAAGACACGATTGAATAAAAAATGTAATCAACAAAATTAAATTGCCTTATAAAAAATAATATACACATTTACTAATAATAGTTACCTATTTATTACAGAACAAACTTTTTTTTGCATTTTTTTAAAGAAACGACTTGGACATGTAAACTTTTTTGTACGATATATTGCTTTTATTGCTCATGAAAAAAAAAAACAATATAAACACAACAAATGAATGAATATTCTTCAGAATTGTTGATGTTACCCATTAAAACTGTCCAATCTGTTAGAAATGTGTAATTCGTAAACTAAACCATTGATTGTACATTTATTTTGCAAAAAAAGAATATTCATTATAAATCAGATATTAAAGTTTTTTCTTTTTGGGCATTTTTCTCAATTTTTTTTTCGATTGTTACCTAACGTTATATTATCCTACAATCAAACTAAATTAATAGATAACCTAAATAACCAGTCAGTATTGTTGGAATAAGCTACGAATCACGATTCTATACAATTGTAAATACTTGAAACGAAACTATTAATGTAACCGACGGTAAAAGACACCAAAAGAGTAGTGCAAAAAGATTTTTTTTTATTGCAAATAGTAATAAAAATGTATGTGATTATGATTTATCATCAAATTTCGACCACATGTATTTATGAAATAATTAACATCAACTCTATTTAATCTCGATTATATTTAATCAACTCTCAATGTGGCAAAAGTAATAGTGTTTTATTCTCTTACCTTGTATTTCTGACCTTATGACGCCTATAGATTAGTCAAGATATATATTTTTGTATGTATTGTAATAACGCAAAAACTACTGTGACAATTTCAAAAATATTTTCTCATTTAAAAATCTATAAGGAACATAAGCTATATTTTTTTATTCCACGAGGACGAAGTCACAAGCAACAGCTAGTTATATATTTTTGATATGCCAACAGAGATACAAAGTTATTCATTTTTACATTTAAGAGAAAACTTAAAAAAACGCACACTTAGATGTGTACTAAAACTAAACATTAATTTAAATATGTCAAATTACTGCACTAAATGAAGAGATCGAGTACATTCTAAGTCTAGTTTTTGGATAGAAAAGCGCAGAAAACTTTGTCAGTTAAATAATCATATATAATGCATAATAAGCATGTTATATATTTTACATATTTACTGTAGAAAGTCTATTAACTTAAGGGCGTAAATTCATTAGTCGATAAGTCGAACGATTTACAGCACACGGGCTAACGACAAACTTGTTGGTCGACGTAAACGTATGCAGGTTCTAAAGACTAATGAATACGGTTCTCGAATGCTGTAAAGCGACTGATGAAATAAACTAACGAAGTATGGCATTTACGAAGAAAATCTTATCGGATCGGATAATGAAGGCATCTGTATACCATATTTTACACTAAGGGCCTGTTCTACCAACTTGTAAATTGTCTGATAACAATCCAACGTGTAAAATATGTGATGGAAATATCGGATTTTGTTACCTTAAGAAAGTGACGTCATTTTTAAGCTATCAGTCAGTGGTGGGACAGGCCCTAAGAGTTCATTCTATATTTATTAAAGTTAAGCAACTTTATAAGTGAGTTATTCTAGTAGTGATCTGTATGTTTAGTTTGTAGAATTCAATAATACACCATTATAACCATTTTAATATTACTATTTTTATGCATATGACTAAGTAATAATAAGTATTCATAATCTATGTAATGAGATATTTATCTGGCCTGGTGGGCAAAAATTATTTTATGTTTTCATTTGAAATGTTTTCGGAATAAGGGTACATCCCTTTAGAAGACATACTTTGGTATAAAATGTCGTTCATGATACGATGGTGGTTGGATGTAGGGCTTTTCAAATTTTCTCCACCAGACTAGATACATTTTATTAAGTCTATATAAAACTACGCATGTTATGGGAAATGACATTTTATTCTTTAATAAGCTTTTAATGTCGGCATTAAATAAATAGTCTCTAGAATATTCTAATATAAAAAGTAGGAAGATTATAAAACAGTAAAAGTTATATGTAACATGTTTAAGAATTATTCAAATTATTTTGTTCGAATTGTTGCCATTGTTATTTTTAAATCATATAATTTTATAAAAAAATATTGAAATTTAAAAATATGGACTATTTTCGCTTTTTAATATTGTTATAAAATTAGTATCATGTTATTTTTGATATTCTATTTTTAAAATAATAAATGAATGCCAAATAAGATTGTAGTTTGTTAAAGTGGCAATACATTAATTGCATGATTCCCAGCGTAATATAAAATTATAGAGGATTTCACAATGTAGAAAATACATTCACTAAAAGAAACGCTTCAATACTTATTGGTATTACATACTTATTTCGGAATTTCAGATTAAATGTTACATGATAGATGGGACAACTTAATATTTATGTTATTCCACTGGACAGGATATCTGACGTGGTGTTGCTGTTTTCTAAAAGTATAGTTTCTATTGACGCCAGATATGTTATGAATTGTTAATGTAAAAATGTCTATTTATAAAGCAATGAATTTCCGTATAGGAACGCATGTCAAAGGATACTTTTCTATCTTTGTTGATCTCTAAAACACCAGAGATATTGTGATTCTGTTCAGATTTTAGTCTTCAAGGAAAATTCATGGTTATGTTAGCAAAATTATTTTTAAATTTTATGCATTTTGATAGGAATTTGGTTTAGCCAGCACACAAAATGATTAAATAAATAAAGTTTGTTATTTATTATCATATAAATTAATATTAATACAGTTGTGTATAAAAAACAAGATATTATTTTTATACTATTCAAGACATGTTCTTTTCTCCGAACAACTCACTTAAATTAACATATGTCATTATTTGAATAATAGTATACAGCCAGTCTTACACTGCAAAACATCAAATAGGTTTCATTTACAACACATTCGACAATGTTTTTTGATCTTTTGGTTCTCATTAAAAATTCTGATGTAGCAAGTTTTAGTATATATTATATTAGTAATTGGGCGTTGAAGTTTGGACAAAATCATATCTTTTGTACTTTATAGAATAAGCTTAAGAGGTATGTAATTTAAGATGTTTATTTAACTAATTTCATGTTTATTTATATAAAAAAATGAAATCATTTCAAAGCGGGTCATCGAATTTTTATATGGTTACTAATGTAAGGTATTTTATAGCCATAGAAATGTAAACATTAACAATAATATTTCGAATCGTACATTTCTCATTAGCTCTTATGTTGTAGTGTATGATGTAAAATTTATTGAAATATTAAATATATAATACATTTCGATATAAACAAACTAGCTTCGTGTTAAAAAAACTTTTTCTTAAAAGATTTTTTTTTATTTTACTGCTGATTATAACAAACAATTCTAGCACACAGTGTAACAATTTTTTTTTAAATTTGTTTAAATGTATACTCAAAAATTTAATTTTTCTTTATTCATACCTTTCCTGAATAATTAAATCTGATATAAAAAAAATATGTTTTACGGGCAAGCTTTACCAGAAGAGTATTTTTTTGTAAAATGCTTAGTTTTTTTTCTAATAAACCAAACAACTGTTCTGCGATTCAATAGGCTGTGCTAATTTTGTATAAATTATAAGTTTCTTATGTTATGTTTTGTTAATAATTTTGTCAAATATTTTTTAAAGTATTGTGTTACACTGGTATTGATGTTAATTAAATATTTTTTAAGCTATATTGTTGTTATTCTTTTCTTGGGTAACCATTCCTATTGGTATAGAAATTATTGTCACAGTAAGAGATCATCACACTTCACATATTTCATTTTCATAATTTCATTGCGAAAACAAAATTGAAACGTTTTATTAACGTCATGAAAATAGAGTGAGAGATGGTGATATACGTTTTGCAACAGAAACTCATGAGTTTGTATAATGATAGTTACAGACTGAAATTCGAGTCGAGTTTGACATCAGATATATTTCCTGCCTTATAATATTTTGCAGTGTCTTTTTACAACAACGGTATTCCTACAGCTTATTTGTTCACTTTTGTAACCTTTTCTTAAATTGTAACAAGTACCCCACATTTAAAAACGAATATGTATTCAAAGTTATTAAAAAATCATTGAAGCAAAAAAAATATGATGGCATTAGCTTGTTAAATATGTAGTTTGGTATTTAAGGAACACAATAATATAAAATAGTTTATCATCATCCAACAGATTTTTTGTCCTCCACATAACTCTATCCTGTCATTTCAGTCATTACTCCTTTCCTGATCATGTCATCTTTCATACAATATATCCATCTCTATCTAGGTCTACCTCTACCTGTGTACCCTTCTACACTCACAACAAATTGTCCTTGTTACATACAATTCACCCTTCTCATAACATGCCCATACCATGGTAACCTTTTACTCCTTACCTTCTCTACCACCGGGGCTACTCTCGAACTTCCTCAAAGAAATAAAAAATACTTTATATAAGACAATATTTAATGTAAATCAAATATATAAATTAGAGCTAATTATATTATTAATAGTTGGTTTGTAAACTGACCCCATATCAAGTTTATCAAACAATTTTTGCAACTCTTCCACTTGATAGTCATCTGTATTCTCCATGTAACATATCAATGCTATTCCATTTTGATCCAATTGTTCCCTTAATGATATTACTGAAAAATGATAAATTATATAAATTACATTTCTTGCAAGAAAAAATAACTGTTCCTCATTGTGTCCCATTACAAAATTTTCTATAACAAATTAATGTAGACTCGCTTTTACCCACAATTCTGTGTGGAATTAGAAAAAAAATAGTAAGTAGCCCCTGTGTCCTTACAGACTATGTTCTAAATATAATTTATTTCATGAAGATCCATTTATCTGTTCAGGAGATATGTTCTAACAAAGATTATTTTAAAACATTAGTAAGAAGTAAGATTACTAACACTTTTATGGTGAAAATACATTACTTTATGTAATAGAGAATTTTGTTTCCTGACAAACTGACATAGAATTTTTCATTGAATTCACTTCCTAATCAGGTTCCTAACAAATTAAACTGAATTCAAATAACATAAATATGTCTACTTTGAATATATGAGTTTCTTTACCTCCTGCCGCAACACCAGATATTATATTAGGTTGCTCTAGTTTTGGAAATTTAAACTCTGTTTTATTTGTTACTGCCGATGTGTATAGTCCTCTGATAACACATGGATGTACAAGATGGCTACTTCGATATTCAGAAATAGGTATTGTTTGGATCATTATAACATTTTTGCAAGATTCCAAATATGGATGTAACAATTCAACAATTTCACTGCTTAATACAATATCATAATCTCTCATTGTACACAGATATTTATGAAGCAGTTTATTTTTATATATTCTTAAATTCACTTCTTTAATTTCATTTACTAATTGCAATTGCTGTGACTGTAGATCTATGAAGTTTTTTAAATATTTCCCATCAATAAAGTAGAATGTATCAATGTCATGGTTTATTTCGACTTTATTTTGCCACTGCAATCTGAAACAAAAATGTAACATTTTATATAATACATAATACAATATTATAAATGTGAGTAAACCAGTTAGAAATAAATTTTACTTAGAATCTTCGCTTTCTGGTAAAATATCATCCCAATCTTCCCAAATTGTTCGGCTTGCCGGTTCAACAATTTCGCCAAATGAACTCATTTTATCTTGTTTAATTATGTTTTTAAAGACTCATACAATTTTATAAAACTCTCGTATTCCCCCTCTATGATCAAGTTCAAAACATGAATGACAAATGTCAAATGAGTTAGCAGTTTTTGACATATTAGTTTTATAATTGCAAACGGCAAAAGTTATCATATCTTGCATCTTTTTGACGGTTTTCAATAACATAGAAATGAAAATATTAAAGGGTAATGCAGTACCTTTTAATTACGTAGTTTATTTAAATTATGTTCAAGTATGAGAATTTACTTCATTTTAAAAACATATAGAAAAAAAAATAAAATACTATTTCGTAAGAAGTTAAGTGGCTGTATAGCTTATTGCCTTGTCCTCTTTTGCAGCAACTTGATTACGGTAAAATCATTATATTCTCTATGGTGAAAAGTCATGAAAAATAGAAATAATACATGGTGAATGTATGTTATACGTTCTGTGATTTCTGTCGAAAAATACAAAATTCTTTCTATAAACCATGTTAAAGGTAAATATCATCATCAAATTCACATTTTGCATGTACACCGAAATATAAAAGATGTTATTTTCAGGATAGAGTGCAGATTACTTTTGAAGATAAATGGCCTTCTATGCGTCCGATAGTTTTGAAGCTTTTAAAACAAGAAACAGTTACCCAAATAGAATGGCAAGATTTATTCGGAGCTGTACATACGGTATGCCTTTGGGACGAAAGGGGCGCTTACAAGTTAAGAGATGCTTTGCAGCAAGATATAACGATGTACATAAAGCAAGCTCAGGCTCGTGTACTTGCGCAAAGAGAAGACCAAGCCCTTCTTAAAGCATACATAGCAGAATGGGGAAAATTTTTCACACAATGTAACTATTTACCGACACCTTTTCGTCAATTAGAAAATTCTATAAACAATGTAAGTAAAGTTACAATTACCAACACATCTAACGCACTGAAAAAGAATCACAATAACAATGTAGAGGAAAGTTTGGTTCGCAAACTAATGTTAGATTCATGGAACCAAAGTATATTTGTGGATATCAAGCAAAGATTGCAGGATTCTGCAATGAAATTAGTGCAAGCTGAGAGGAATGGAGAGTCCTTTGATTCCCAATTGGTCATTGGAGTTAGAGAGTCATATGGTAAGGTTATATTTATTTCAAATATATCTATGCTAAGTTCAATATATAGAATTTATAAGTGGGTTCTGCCAAGATTGCACTAAACCAAATGTAAATGTATCATATTAAAACCTCTTGAGTTTATTGGTAGTAGAGCACATTCATAGTTATTCATCAAAAATTATTGCAATTTACATAAACTGTACATTGTTTTATATTTCTTTAAAACTAATAATTCACTGCGCATTAAGCTTAGTGACCTTAATTTTATAAAGCTTTTAATTTGTTATAAAAAAAAAATTTGGTTTTCCCCTAATGGGGTTTCTTTTAGCCCAGGGATGACAAATTTTGATATATCTATTTGTCATTTTTCTAAATAAATATTTGCATAGACATGCCAAAAATAATTTTGTTGGGAACATTCTATAGCCCAGGGTTCAATTGCTTTAACTCTATACCTATCTGAATGACTCTTTTTGAAGTGCAGAATAAAATTAATTTTATGGTCAGTGGCCAAAACATCTCTAAATGTCAAATGCTAACAAAACAAATTATCTCGGTATTTATTTCAATAATTATTTTATGTATTCCAGTGAATCTATGTTCAAAAGCAAGTGATAAACTGCAAATATACAGAGAAAATTTTGAAGCAGCTTACATGCAAGCCACTGAAGAATTCTACAAATACAAAGCTAATGAACATTTGTTGTCTAATGGTGTACAGTCATATATGAAATATGCTGATCAACGTTTAAAGGAGGAAGAAGCTCGGGCACATAGATATTTGGAGCCAGGCAGTGGGAGTGTTTCCGCACTAACACAATGCTGTGAGAGAGTGATAATTTCTGAACATTTGCCTACATTATTGGCTGAGAGTGCACCATTAATTAAAGCTGGGGAGACAGAAAAACTGCAGCTTATGTTCCGCCTGATAGATAGAGTGCCAGGGGGAGTTACACTTATACTGAGAGACTTAGAAGCTCATATTGTGTCAGCTGGTTTAGCTGACATGGTAGCATCTGCCGATATTATAACAAGTGACTCAGAAAAGTATGTAGAACGCTTACTAGATTTATTCAGAAGGTTCAGTACCCTAGTTAAAGAAGCGTTTATGGATGATCCTAGGTTTTTAACTGCTAGGGACAAAGCTTACAAATGTGTTGTGAATGATACAACAGTTTTTAAACTAGAGCTGCCATCTTCGGCGCTCCTTCGTGGCAGTAAAGGTACAGCACCTGAAAGCAAGTGTCCCGAACTGCTCGCAAATTACTGTGATATGTTGTTACGAAAAACTCCTTTGAGTAAACGCTTAACTACTGAACAAATAGAATCTCGTTTAAAAGATGTACTCTTAGTTTTGAAGTATATTGAGAACAAAGATGTCTTTATGAGATATCATAAAGCGCATTTAACCAGAAGGTTAATATTAGACTCAAGTGCAGACTCTGAAAAGGAAGAAGATATGGTTGAGTGGTTGAGAGAAGTGGGGATGCCGGCTGATTATGTGAATAAGTTAGCTCGAATGTTCCAAGATATTAAAGTAAGTGAAGATCTCAATATTCAATTTAGAGGTGAAACGACGCGTCATGATGCGATCAATATCAAGATTCTGAATGCAGGAGCTTGGGCTCGAGGCTCTGAAAGGGTAACAGTTAGTTTGCCGTTAGAGTTGGAGGATTATATACCAGAGGTTGAGGAGTTTTATAAGAAGAAGCATTCCGGTAGGAAATTGCAGTGGTACCATCATATGAGTAATGGTACAATCACATTTGCTAACACAGTTGGTAGGTTTGATTTGGATGTGACCACTTTCCAAATGGCAGTTTTGTTTGCATGGAACCAAAGACCAATGGAGCGGGTGACTTATGAAAACTTAAGACTTGCAACAGAGCTTCCTGATCCAGAATTGAGAAGGACTTTATGGTCTCTTGTTGCATTTCCTAAACTCAAACGGCAACTACTCTGTTATGAACCAATGGTTCAGAATCCAAAAGATTTTGCAGAAAATACAGCTTTTTGGGTAAATCAAGAGTTTGCTCTGGTTAAGAATGGGAAACCTCAAAGGCGTGGGAAATTGAATTTGATTGGCCGACTGCAGTTGAGCACTGAACGTTCCCAGATTGAGGATAACCATTCAATTGTACAATTAAGGATTTTGAGAACTCAAGAGGCCATTATTAAAATACTGAAGATGAGGAAACGCATCACAAATACAGCTTTGCAGGTAAAAAAAATTTATAGTACTGTCTTTAATTTCTATTATGTATCATAATAGCCATCTTATGAAGTAACTGTATGACATGATCTTTGTTTCAGAGCGAACTCATTGAAATTTTGAAAAATATGTTCTTGCCTTCAAAGAAGATGATTAAGGAGCAGTTGGAGTGGCTCATAGAACATAAGTATATGCGACGAGATGACGAGGACATCAACACTTTTATATACATGGCCTAGTGCATTTATAAATAATAATGAAATAAGATCATGTAAATTATTTACTCGAAATCATCAAGTTTTTTTATTTAACAATGTACAATAATAATGGATTGAAATTAAAACCAGTTATTATTTCCTTTCAATGACTATTACAAGTTTGTTTTATCAATGACTGAATATTTTTACAACAGATAGCAAAATGTTTTTGTACAAGCGTTTTTGCAGTGGAAACAGTTATGCAACTAAAAACATTTAATGTAAGTTAAGATGAGAATAGCAACAAGGTTAGTGTAAAAATAAAACATGTGTTACATTTATTTTGTTTTATTACATAATATGACAATAGATAAATATATAAAAGAATCTATAAACAGCTTCAGTTCTTCACGGGGTCGATCGTTTCACCTCCTTGGATTTGTCCCCAGCCAATTAACCTGTTCAAATAAAATAAAATATTTTTAACAAATAGTAGCTTTGATATCATCGTTTGTAAGATCGTCCGCTTACAATTTTATGACACCACCTGTTAACAATTTATCTAGAATTGCAAAGAATCGTTAAATTGGATATTAATAGAATTAATTCACAAAGAAATGTATTTTTTCATTTTGTAAAGGTTTCAACTTACCGCCAATGGTTTTCCACTCGTCTGCTGAGTGCGACCTTTTCTCCGATCTCCGTACAGACGGGGTTGTTGAGAGCGATTTTGGCCAAATCGGCCTTAGTCGCGATAACTCGCCCGCCGGTACTTAAAGATCCAATGTTTACAAGCAACATCTGAAATTAATATTTTTTTTAAGAAAAACTAAAAATCGGCTACAGCTAACTTAACCAGAACACTAAGAAATACGCCTTATATATTCCGAGTTTTTAAACATTGGAAAACAATTTGCAGTTACAATCACATTTAGTCCATACAAATCTGATTTTTTTTAAATCAAATTAAGAAAATGTAAGTGTACCCAATGTGTTGTCTACTAAAGGGAAAAATAGTAAAAAAAAAACAAAACAATATTTTTAATTTTGTCTTTCCAAGATGTTGCAGAGAAATCCATACTCTCAAAGGTAGCAACATTTCGTGGTAGGCTCTTTTTTATTTTCTAATTTGAAGATTATCATGTTAGATTTTGTGGCCTAAACGGTTGAACAGATTTCGATGAAATTTAGTATAGATGTAGAGGACAATCTGGAAGAAGACTCACCTTTGTTATATTAATTTCTCGCGGACGGAGTCGCGGGCGAAAGCTAGTATTAAAATAATGTGGCCAATATGATTTATAACCCCAAGGCCCTTAGTATTTAAGGATGTTAGCGTTAACTGTTGGTATAAGCGGCGCTGTGGAGACGTACCTCGTGGCGGGTGAGTTTCTGCACCTTGGCGGCCTTCTTGTCGCCCTCCGTGCGCACGCCCAGCAGCCGCTTCAGCAGGTGGTACGACACCTCCAGCTTCACGAAGATGCCCGGCAAAGTGCCCACCGCGCCCAGCACCTGCATACATTTCATTCACATCATCTCTCCTACATGTGATTGTGACATGTCGCATTTTTTTTATTGGGCGCCTCTGCACCACCCTCTCGTACCCCTAACATAAGGATCAGGGATTTTTTGGGATGTGTACTTTTTATTTTCTTTTTTTATTAAGTAAAAGAGAATGTGTGATAGGACAGTGTAGTGGCAGAAGCGGTACCTGTCCGACGAGGCGGTCAGCGCGGCAGAGCGTGGGCTCGATGCGGGTGCCGACGCCGATGAGGCCGCCGGGCACCGCGTACTGCAGCTCGTTCTGCTCCGCGAACAGCGACACGATGCGCGAGAAGATGGGCTGGCACGTCAGCCGCCCCTCCGCCTCCTTGCTCACCAGCCCCGGCCGCACCTGCGTTAACATTTCTTATTCATTAAAATATGTATATAAAATCCTTTTCATTATTTTTTTTAAGATTTAAGAAACACATAGACTAAACAGGGAACAATATATTTTTACAGGTAACTTCTTTGTACGGTAATATCTTAGTTTCAAATTTGACACGTTGAGACGTTTCTCATTATATGTTTGTAATTTTAACTATCGGACACCAGGTATCGCTAGCTAGGTTCCTCTATACATTTTTTGAATCTCTTTGTAAGCAATATTTTTTTATAAATATTGTAGAGGTAGAGTAGTAGAGGCTTTTCCTTTCAACTCTTTTATTAACAGAAAAAGTGGATTTGACGGTGGAGGAGACACATAGGAAGGGAAAATATCTTCTTTTTGTGCGTCTCCTGTCGATTAAGGGTAGGCAACTCATCTGCAATTTCAAATTCTTACACCATTGAATAGCTACGTTATTTGTGAGTAAAATATCTTTGTTTATTACATTTCATATGTTATAAACTAAGCGACCAGTGGTTACACTTAAATCCTGTGGGTTTTTGTACGGTAATACGTTTTATTGTTTTTTTCGGTTTATGTATTTGTGGCGGTGGCTTCGCCATGTGTGCGGGGTACCTCGATCTCCATGCCGAGGGTGAGCACGCCCTGCAGGATGGAGCCGCCGGCCACGCCGCCGCGCAGGTCGTCCACCTCGCAGCCCGGCTTGTTCACGTCGAAGGAGCGGATGACGATCATGCGCGGCGGCGACGTGAAGTCCCGCAGCGGCACCGGGATCTTGTTCGTTATGTACTCGCACAGCACCTGCATTCACATATACTGGATTGTTAGCAAAACACAAAAATTAAAAATGTCAATTATAATAATAAAATGCGAATTCTTTACCCTTAAATACCTGAAGTTTCAAATTTGATAACGAGATTATAAATCGCATTGGGCACCAACAATTCATTTTATTTAATGGTGTAAATTTTATAGGCACTTTACGCATTTGGCTGATAAACTTCAAGTTAGAAATCAAAAAGGAGTCTATCACGAAAATGTTGCTTCTACCTTTGAAGTATGGATTTCTCGTCAACCAAGTTGGACAATACATAAAAATGTTTTTTATTTTTTTTTACTAATGTTCCTTATTAGTGATTTGAGTTAAGACAACACACCTTTGTCTAATCTATCGCATAAGTGTTTAGTCGCACTTTGATTCCTATAGCTTATATGAAGGAGCGCACGCTACTTGATGTAGAGTGCAACAAAACATTTGAACAGTAAAACAGTAGATTATGAATGTTACGCCCGCTTTAAATAATATTGAATTACCTCAATGTTATATTTAAGCTGTGCAGATATAGGTATGATGGGCGATCCCTCGGCCACGGTGCCCTGCACGAACTTGACGATCTGCTCGTGCTGTTCTTTCGCCTGCCCCTCCTTCACCAGGTCGATCTTGTTCTGCAGGATCAGCATGTGCTTCAGCTTCATTATCTCTATCGCCGCCAAGTGCTCGCTCGTCTGCGGCTGAGGGCACGACTCGTTTCCTGTAACAATGTATATTTCCTTGATATTTGATTGTTATCAGACAATTTACAATTTCATGGGACAAGCCCTTAATATTATAAATGCGAAAGTTTAGATGGATGTATGTTTGTTGTTTAAACCTAAAAAACTAGTATAAATGTAAAGGGCAGTTTGCAAGAATACATTGGTTACTCACTTTTGTTTTTAATAATTCTACGCGGACAGAGTCGCGGGCGAAAGCTAGTGTTCTATAATTCTTGTCTATCAACTGTTATATGAATAATTTTATAGACATATCCTCTTTCACACTTTCTCTATACAAAGTTCGGTCTTCCTCTATCCTTAAGCTATATATCCTTTTACTCTTTCTTTCATATGTAATAAAGACTTTTTTTAATCAACTTTTGGGTTCAGACATAAGTCTACTATTGTAGAGGATGCAACAACAGCTTTAATGCACCAGTACAGTTGGAGAGTTGTGATGACCAGTCACAGATTGTATGGATTCACTGGGGCCAGTTGTTTGACAGTCCAGTTATTGAGCGCTACTGACGAACTGTACTGAGCAAGTGTGAACCACGCATTATTACCTGCGATGAGTAGTAACGCCGCGTCCATAACCGCGGCTCCGTTGAGCATGGTTGCCATAAGAATGTCGTGCCCGGGGCAGTCGACGAAGCTGACATGTCGCACGAGTTGGAAGCGACCAGTACAGGCGGGTCGCAGGCAAGGGAAATTATCATCCTTGGACGAACCGCCGGAGATATAACTCGTCGGCCGGGGACACTTCGGGTTGTCGCATTTGTAGATCTTCGCATTAGCATAACCTACAAACATATAGTACATTGTGTTAGCTTTTTAACTTTGTTGATGTATTCTATATTCTTAAAAGTTATTTAGTCTGTGCTATAAATCAATACCATTTATTTTTTAAAATAACAATATAAACCTTGTAATTGTGATCCAACACATTAAACATTTATGTCATAATTTTTAAATGTTAGAATTCTACTTGTCATTTTAATAATTAGACAGTAATCAGATATCAGAAATAAGGGTGTTGTATTGGCTCGGCTACACGACGGCCATATTAGTAGTGACGGACAAGGATAGTTGACACATGTAGAAACGGGGTTATTAGTAAGATTATTCTGTACAAATTCGAAGACAGCATAAGAGCTAAAGACTATATTTTATTAAAGCATAACATGACTGTAGCTTCTATAATAGACACTTACCAATTTTTAAGTTTAGACAACTAAGGCTTTTTCGCTTAACTATTTCTCTTTTTAATGATAATGTTACTACCATACATAGTGACTTGTTTGATGGTTTTTCAAAATACCCTTGATTTAGACTTCTAATACAAAGGACCAAAGAATTACAAATGTAAACTATACAACAATGGTGTGCCTAATGGTAACTAAATAGTTCTACTAGGCACACAATAGTCTGAGTCTGCACTGATCAATTGCAGATTGTAACAAACAATAATTAAATAACTCCTAACTATATTTCTATAGAATATCTAATAAATAAATAAAAGTAGTCAGTTTACATTTATTGCATTTAATAATTAACTAAAGTATAGAAATACTAAATTATTAACTAAAACATCAAATAATTAGGTACTTAGATCAAATGAGGGGTAAAGGAAAAAATCTTTTCTAAACATAAATCTAAACTTAAAGTTAACAAAAATAACGTTTTTCAAAACATTAACCTAACAATACTCCAGTTAGAATGTATTAACAACTTAATACCCATACAAACATAATTGCAAGAAGTAACATGAACAAAATATCTAAGGATTAAATGTGTAAAATATTTCCATCAAAACAAATTAAAAAACTAATCTGACTTTGTGGAAAATAAGATATTAAAATGTAAATAAGGCGTAATATAAATACTACCCTCTTTGCTCTCTTTCATGATAAAGATCTTAGCAATATTAATAATATTGATTTCAATTCGAAACTCTAAGAGCAGTTACACACCTTTAACTAAACTATTGCAAAACTGTTGTGCGATATTCAATTGTTTTGCCAATTCGACTGTTTAGTTGCATAACTAAAAATCAAACAGTGTCACACCTTCATATGCGTCAAGGAATCAACGCGAGACAAAACAGTTTTAAGATAGTTTAACACTGATATGTTTTACGACTAAACTGTACTGCTCAGTTTTAATGTCAGTTACAATACTTGTAAATACAAAAATACGGAAGTGATTTTAAAGTTACACATTATTTAACACTTATTCATTCTTAAAAGGCACATTTATTTATTATCAAGTTAATAAATAGAAAAAGATTTCTTTTATTTGCACCAGCATCAAATATTTGATTTACATAGTATATCAAGTTCATTAAAAATCAAGATAGAAGGCACACAAATAACTTAAATGCTGAAGTGGCAGTGTTGATAAAGGAGTTGTCTTAGAATTATTAATAATACTTATATGTACAATTACATTATTAAGTAAAACAAAAATGTATTGTTTTTTTTGTTTTTGTATATCATCATCTCCGCTACCTTATCCTACTCAAGTAGCGTCGGCGTAAATAACAAACAAAAAAATCGATATCAACAACTATGACCAATTACTAATACTTAGCTAGTATATAAGATGACCATGGGCAAAGAGGAGCTGATTCAAGATCTTAGAACATTGTAATATCAGTCAAGAGCAAGAATCTACAGTAAATAAGAGATAAGAGATTGAGACTGCATGTAATGCACTAAAAAACTAACTACAGCAGAACCTCGATAAGTTAAAGTCCAAAGGAAACACAAAATATTTTAAGTTATAGAGGTTTTAAGTTATCAAGGGTCTATGTTTTAGAGATTTTGAGCTCTGATGGAAAAGGAACATAATATTTTTTGAAGTTATGGAGGTTTTTAAGTTACCGAGTTTTGAGTTGTCGACGTTCTATTGTAGTTTAAAATGATCATTAGAACACACATAGATATAAGCTGTGTAAAGGACTTCAATTGGACAGCAGTTAAGAAGAAACATAAGGTGATAATTCTGTATCATTAAATATTCTTTGTTAACCAGCATTAGATGGTTTTACCTTCCTGTGCCCCACATTAAGGTGTATAACAGTATCTTGAGCATTTACAGTTGAATCAACAGATTTTTGCCAACTCCCTTGCTCTTAGTACTGTATATTTGGACTCAACCTTACTAGAAGTTAATAATATACAATTCTTATTTATTACAAAGTCCCTTAGCAAAATGTGATGTTAAGATTCTATATAATAGTAAATTACAATAAATTTATTGTGTTGTACTCATAGTAAACTTAATTTATTTAATTTATGTAATTCCTCTTTCGTAAAAATAGAAATTAATGTTCTATTTTTGTTTTATGAAATTATCATACAATGAATATAATCTTCACAAATTGTAGGTATTCTGTTATATTCTTATGCCAATTATATTATATATAAATATTAGAAATTCGAAAGTTACGATCGATGGATGGATGTTTGTTAGCGTTTGTAGCCTAAACGACTGAACAGATCGCCATGAAATTTGGCGCAGTTATAGAGCATAGTCTGAAAGAACACATAGGCTACTTTTTATCCCGGGAATAGTTACGGTTCCCGTGGGATTCATTAATTCAGTTTTTTAATGTTTACTCAATCATTCTGCAAGGGTTTAACAATCTTATTAAAATTTGACACAGATATAAAAAAAAGTCTGGAGTACACATGGGATAAGGTTGATCCCCGAAAAAGGTTCGGTTCCCGAGGGATACATAGCTTTTTGTTATTTAAATAGTTAATATGATTTCTAATAACAACGCGGACGAAGTCGCGGGCAACAGCTGGTTTTCTATAAACATGTATAGAAAATATGTATATACTCTATATAAAAATATTTGTTTATTAGAATAAATTGTATTTTGTAGTACATAGATACCAAATTAATATATTCTGTCAACAAACAATATGTAACATGTTATTTACACAATTTCATAGTATGAATCCATACATTTTGCTAATATAACATTATTATGTTAATTGAGATTCATACTTGAAGTTGTTTATTGTAATACACAGTTATTATTTTAAAATAGATGGCTTTTATATCTGATCAGAACAAGTATTTTCTACATTTTAGGGCTCCACATTTACATTCTGTGTTTTTAAGGGATGTATTACTTTGTTGTTGAATTTCAAACCTTGTTCTAGATGGAGAACTAGGTGCAATAGCCGTACTTGCTTCTGCTGTATTCGGACTGCTCCTGTCAACATCTCCATTTACAGACCCATTGATATTGTCAGATATCCCTGTTGAATTATTTATTTCTGACACCTCACAATCTGACGATTTTTGTAAGTAATCAAAACAAACCTCCTCACCCGGCTCAATATCACGTGTAGCGAACAACGCTAACATGGGAAGATTGGGATCGAGACAATCTGCCCACACCGCCCACACACCCAAGTTTGGATCACAGGAATGATTTATAAAATGTGACACATTACCTAAATGTGCCGCATCAACTACATACGGATTTTCAACAGAATTAAAATCAAGGTCAAACAAATAAGTCAATCCATTAGCATCATATTCCCTCCCTCTCTTCTCTGCTTCTTCAAATGTTATGACCTCGCCTACATACTGACATAAAAATTGTCCATTTTTTATTTTTTGTTCAGCCCGCACACCCCAACCACAACCATTTGATGTTCGGAAAATTGTTAATTTAACATTTCTCCCCCTTTGAACTACTCTATTGGTGCAGTCTATTGAACATTTACATGCTTTATTGCACTCATAAATTGGTATGCCTGATGCAATCCGTAATCTTTTACTGTAAGCATATGCAAAGATACCACCTTGCATGCCACAACAAGACTTTGATCTACAGTTACATGATGCACACTCACAACCAATTGGTGGATTCTCTGGTATAACAACTCCAGCACCAGGAATGGAATGATTGATATAAGTGAAATTTTCCGGCGGCCCTGTAAAGTCTACATTATTTTCTACACTCAAACGCTTGCAGTCATCTACTTGATTTAAATGCTCCTCCCATTCCCGAAGTGCCATAATTTGTCGACATCTTTTCCTTGCTGCTACATACAGCTGTAAAAAATTTCGACCACTTTCAACCAGCTCTGCAACATGACACTCCTCACATTCCCTTAACAATATCATAGCAAGCAATTTAATTGTTAAATTCTGCCTCAAGTTTGATATTGAATCTTCTTCAACCTCGTCTATCCTTTTCAGGAGATTTTCTTCACTTAATAAATTATCAAAGGATAACTCTTTCTTAAGCTTTTCAATATTCTCACAATATCTGAGCTCCTTCTGTAGTAAAAAACTTTTCAATATAGCTGGACAGTTATGTAAGTGGCCAATGGGTTCCCATGTATTTTCACTATCAGGCCATCCTTTCCATTTTACATGAAAATACTCATTTCCAGACTCAAATTTGAAGCCAATTATCTTCTCAATAATAAACTCATTTTCTTTCTGAATACTTTTCTTTTGTTTCTTTGATGGAGGTGATACTTCACGTTCCAGTGACACTGCCCTTTTACCAGGCCTTCTTATTTTCTCGTAAAACACATTTTCTCTCTTTTCTTCAGCCAAGTCACGATATACTCTTATATAAGAATCCGACAGGCGCTCTGCAACATACCATGTGATTTAATTAATACTTGTTCTAATTTTCTTTTGTACAGTAAAGTAGCAGTATAAAAGGATATTCTAAACAATTTAATTTTATTCACATGGTACATTGCAAAGGTCTGTTTATTTGTAAAGTTAAGACTGGAAATCTTAATGTTTTAAAAGTTAAAGAACAACATAAATTATAACCAAATATCACTACTGAAACACCTGTCCAAAAACATGTTACTCTTTTTTCAAAGAGAATTAATGGAATTATGATTGGTGTATGAATGTATCACAATGGAAACCTATATTAAGTTATCACTTAGTCTTAGGTTTTTTATTAATTACTGTTGTTGGGTATCAAGCAAGAAAAGGCTATGCTGACATATATGCAGTAAACAAAATAAATACTTACACATAAACCATTATGTACAATACAAAAGTATAATGTACAATTAAGAAATGTGGATTTTTACTCATGTTAATAAATTCACTTAATTTAATTAACATATGATACAGTATAAAAGATATAATAAACACACAATATCTCCTTGTTTTTAAATGTTTCCTAGGTATGAATTTAATATAAATTATCATAAGATCTTACCTAATTTAATAGTAATATTCCTCTCTAGCTCATTTTTGAATCTAACAGTTTGGACGCCGGATATGGCCTTTACGACTGTTGACTTTCCATGAGCTACGTGTCCAATAGTACCAATGTTGATAGTCGCTTGTCTTGATATTACTTCTGGTGATAGAGCTGATAATTTTGTGACATCCTGCAAAGTAAAGTGTACTGAGTTTAGAAATGTACATGTTATGTTAGAATCGTAAGGTCAATAAAAGCAAAACTTTTTATTTAATGTAATCATACTTCATATTATAACATTATACACTTAAATATCAAAATAACAATAGCAAGCTTACAAGTTTGGTTAGGTCTTGCTGATGCAAGTTTGACTGTACACTTCGGCTCTCATTTGAAGCCATTATTGTATCATAAACTCAATTACTTTGTACAACGACGTTTAACTGCTTTCAAGTGAGTAAATCCAAGTTAATTTAATCCCTGAAAACTACATAAGTATTTTCACAAGATTGCACTCTGTAGCGTGGCTCACTCACATAGACATCGGACATTTACATTTTACATTAAATTGACATGAAAAAATATCAAATAGATCGGACTCAGTGTTGCCAATAAAAATTTTCACCCGGCCGTGTAAATCGTGTAAAGTGGTGGTGGTCATCGGTGGGCCGCAGCAATAATAAAATAAGGAAAACTTTTCAATTTTAGCTAAAGTTACAATTTTAATCTTTAATATCAATTGTTTTGCGTTATGTGCTTTATATTCTGTGTACCGGTATTTGACAGCAATCGGTCTGTCTCTATTACTCTCTGTCAGAGTCAGATATTGATTGAAAATCGTGTATATTTTAAGGAATAGAATAATCTACGATTGTTAATATGTCTCTGATCAAGACAAATATGCTTGTAATTATTTATATTCCCTTCAAATATACGAAAAAAATTAATTCATACTAATAAAAACTTGTTACGTAATATTGTCCTCAGGTGCGGTCGCTGAGCACGTCCTCCGCAGCAGCTCAACTTGTCAAGCCTCCAGTTCAAGTGTTCGGCTTGGAAGGCAGATATGCTACTGCCTTATATTCTGCTGCTTCCAAAGCAAAGAGCCTAGATACAGTGGAGAAAGAGCTGTTCCAGTTCCAGCAGTCTATCAAAGCTGATGCTAAACTAAAGGAATTTATAATCAATCCTACTTTGAAGAGAAGTTTGAAAGTAGACGCTCTAAAACATGTTTCATCTAAGGTCAGTCACATACAAACTGAAAGTTACATATTACAAGTTTTGTTATTTTTTACATAAAACTCTTGTTTATAGGTTAATCTATCAGCTACTACTAGCAACCTGTTGGGCCTGATGGCTGAGAATGGCCGACTCGGCAAATTAGAGGGTGTAATCAATGCTTTCAAGATTATGATGGCTGGACACCGAGGTGAAGTCACTTGTGAAGTTATCACTGCCAAACCATTAGATCAAGCTCAAAGACAAAACTTGGAAGCTGCCTTAAAGGTAATTCTATTCCATTGTGATAAACAGAAACAGAGACTTTCTTGTGATTCAGCTATTTATATGTTTAAATTCATATGGGATTATACAATTGATAATATTTGGTCCAATGCTTTTCGGTAGGCTTTCTAAATATATTTGCTGGACCATTAGGATTTTTATACAATATATTTTTTTACCTATATCTGTACTAATATTATAAAGAGGAAAGATTTGTAATTTTGGATGTAGTGAAATAACTTGTATAACATACTGCGCCAATTTCCAAAAATTCTTTCATCATTAAAAAGCAATGTTATCAGTGATATGTCACTATGGGCTATATTTTTTGTTATTTCATAATTTCAATCTTTGAAATAGTATATTTTAGGATACATGTAAATTAAAGTAAAAAGATATACAATTCATCTATACTAATATTATAAAGAGGAAGATTTGTATTTTTGTATGTATTAAAATAACTCAAAAACTACTAAACCAATTATTCACTGCTAGTAAGTTAGATTTATATGTGGGTAACATAAGCTGTGCTTTTTATTACTTTTTTAATTTTATGCAGGCAAAGTCGCAAGCAACAGCTATGTATAATAATTTTATATTTACAGAAATTCCTGAAAGGTAATGAGACCATTCAACTCACTGCTAAAGTTGATCCTTCTTTAATCGGTGGAATGATTGTATCTATTGGAGACAAATATGTAGACATGAGTGTTGCCAGTAAAGTGAAGAAGTACACGGAGATCATTAGTGCTGCTGCTTAAAGAAAAACAATGAAATAATCTAGAAGTTATGGCAATCAATCAAGTGATGGATTAGAAAATGATTGGTTTAAATTAAACAATTACATGTTACAGTCCATTTTTGTTTTATTTTTTCCTACTGGTATTCCTAGTTAACCTAAAATTTTTACATATGTAATTAATCTTTTGTAGTGCAACTAAGATCAGATTTAATCCCTCCAAGGATTAAAGTGTAACATTCTTGTGAAATAACTCTTTTGTAATTTATAATAGTTAAGGTGTGAACAAGAATTGAACACCTCATTCATGGGAAACAAAGATATTGATGGTAATTTACTAGTATTTAAAAGCAACTGCTAAATTATTATTTGCAGGTTAAAGCAAGCATATTTTATAAAAGTCATCATCTTCATCATCTCCTTATCCTACTCCCGTAGAGTCAGCGCATATTTTATAAGAGTAATAAACCTTTAAGCTGCATTAATAAGAGGGTAAGGTTTAAGGTATAGTTTTGCCTATTTGATTTAAATCTAGAAAAAAACTATTGATTGGAGTATCCTATACCCATGTTACACAAATTGGTCACAATTTTTTAAAATAAAACAGCATGAAAAAGAACAAAAATTTAATGTGCTCTCCTGCACTCAAACTTAAAACATACCTAAATTATAACGAAATACTCTGTGCACACAATAACTTTAAATCTTTAAAGGTTCAACAATTATGTTTTTGAGATCATCTATTGTGCCTGAGATCATTTGTACAATTGATAATGGAATATTTTACTTTACCCCTCCGCTGGGGCTGTTTCACCTTTCAAAAGTGCATTTTCCGCCTCTAGTTCAGCAATGCGAGCTTTAGCTGCTTCAAGTTCATCTTCTCCACCGTCAGTACCTAGATGTTTACGAACATATTCCAAGGCGTCTTCTGGTTTATCAGGTTCTTCATACAAGCTTACCAGGACTTTTGTCAATGCGTCCATAACCCCGGCTCTTTCTAAATATCGTCTGAACTCTTCTCTTTTAGAGTCAATGGGCTATAAAAAAGTACACATTAGACTAGGACTGCATTCTTGATAAGACAATTTTAACGGGCTTGCAGTCATTACGAATTTAGAAGTAAAGATAAGATGTTTAATAAACAAGGTAACTTACTTTGTAAGACGACATTATTGATAAATGTAAATGTATAATAAGAATTCTCTAATTATTGAATTTAAATCCGCAACGACAAAATTTCGAGCGCAATTTGACAACAGTTTGACAAGTTGACAGCATTTATTTTTCTTCAGGAAATTAACAATTTGTTGTTCTGTTTCATCATCATACAAGCCTGTTATTTTATAATTTTTTTTTAACAAATGTGATTATGTAAAGAAACTAAACATTTTTCTACTTATGAAATGTGAATTTTATTTTAAGTAAAGTGGAGAAAATTCGTTTTATAAATTTTGTGTTAATAGATGTAGCTCACAACTTTTCAAAATAGTAAATAGTAATATATATGCTACTCACTGATAATGTAGCTTTTTAACTTTGAAAGAATTTTAGAAATAGGCGCAGTATTTTGTGAGTTATTTGCATACATATTGAATTACAAATCTTTCCCATTATGATTCACAAATTCCGTTATGGCGTTAACATCTAATTATTTTTGACCGACTTCCCAAAAGAAGGAGGTACTCAAGTCGTCTGTATGTTTTTTTTTTTACAAACAGGTCCTTCTGTGCGCGACATTTCTTCCGCAGTAATATATAGAGAGAGTATATTAATTTCCCGATTAGATGTAAATTAGTCCTAGGACATGGGTGTAAAAAAATTCACTACACATTTTGTAATTATTTATTAGAGGTCTCATGACATGAACCAAAGATAGCTAGAACATAATATTAAATTCAATTAAAGCAAAGCTGTTTAAATTAACATATAATAAGGTTAAAACTATGTTAAACAATGTGTTTAAAGAAAAGGAAATATGTAAAGCTCTTACTCCACATTTAGAGCCATCTAAAAATTACTTAAACAGTCCTTAGTGTGTTTGACTTCCAAAATCTACACCAAAGGACTTCTAGCCAAATACTGAAACAATATTTAAATATGATGTAACAGCATCTTTAATGGTGCAGTGGTAGTAAAGCAATGCTTAGGAAGCGAATTGTAAAAGATTTGTTTCATTATTCGGCCATTAGTGACATTTTATGTGTGGCAGTTTGTGAAGAAATACTTTTAGAGACTAAATTTAAGATTCATCATCACTGCCGGCTGGTTGTTTAGGTTTGGGTCCCCCAGCTCTCTTTGCCATTATAATTTGATTGACTTTCAAAATGGTGGTAGCGACGCCAACCGCATACTTAATGCCCCAATTCTTAAGAAGGAATGCATCTAACACTCCTTTTGCTTTTGCATCACAAACATCACCACTGTCCGACTCAATGTCATATCCATAGGTTTGTTTTCCATCCTGAAAGATAATATTAAAGATTATTGTGTTAAAAATAAACATGAAAATTTAAATGAGTGTTTTCGTTTATGTAAGGATCACATAAGGGAAGGAGTGGTATATGTATCAAGTAATTGCGAAAAAACTGTACAATGTAAGAGTGAAATAATAAATTAGGAGAAAATTAAGATGTTAAAGTAAACCAATACCTTATGTGCTTTGTACAAGTTGTTAACAACACTAGTTGCATTAGCTCCAGAATTATCAGCTAATGCCCTGGGAATACTTTCTAGTGCCACCGCCACCTTCCTTACAGCATATTGTTCAAGCCCAGGCAATGTGTCTGCATATTGCAGGAGTTTCTGAGCCAATTCTATCTCCGTTGCTCCAGCTCCAGGTAAAAATCTAAACAAAAAAAAAATCGCATGGTAAAATGTTTTTAAAGTTAACCTAAAATACAGAACATGTTTCCATCAGTGCGGAATTAAAAAAAAATTACTCTTTCAAACTATTACTAATTTCATAAAGATCTGTTAATACATCTCGAATATACCAAACTTCCACACAATCAAATTTATAATCATACTAATATTATAAATGTGAAAGTTTAGATGGATGGATAGATGTTTGTTAGAGTTTGTAGTCTAAATGGCTGAACAGATTTCGATGAAATTTGGTATAGATGCAGAGGATAGTCTGGAAGAACACATAGGCTACTCAATTTTATTTTTTTAAATTACACGCGGACGGAGTCGCGGGCGAAAGCTAGTATGAAATAACTTACTATTTGCTATATAAATTTTTGCCAACTTTTATTAATTGAGTAAATTTTATTTTTGTCATGAATGCAATGTTATATACTATATTATTACCTTCCATCCCTAGCAATAGCTTTGAAGGTGTTAACACCATCATCAATTGCCCTCTCAATGTCATCCATGTAATTGTCAGTAGAACCTCGAATTACAATAGTTGAAATTCTTGATTCTGAAGCCTCCATTACAAATGCCACAACTCTGGTATCTCCTACTTCGTCTACTCGAACAGCATCACAGTAACCTTGTTCCTCTGCTGTTGGAGTAGTCAACCTTGGAAGAACCTAAAATGTTTTTTTTTATACATTTGTAGATACATATAATTTTTTTTGTATTAAAAAGTATCTCTTGTACAGACGTAAATAAGGAAAGTATTATTTTAACTACATAAATAGCATTTAAAAAACAACTTACTGTAGCATTAACCGTCTTAGCTAAGCGGCGCAAGTCAAACTTTGAATTGAGTCTTACACCCATCAGACCATATTTGTTAAGGAAATGTAGAGCCATATCACCAAACTTTGCACCAGCTACGACAACCTTGATTCCCGCATCTGCAATATCCTTTATCTGCTTCTCTAGAAGAGATTCCTCTCCACGGCTGAAGTTCAGGAGTTCATCTGCACTCTTGATAAGCACTGTGCCTTTGGTTTCTG